GATTATAATTATTATCCTTTCTTTAGCTTTTAGCTATTATATTTATAATTAATATAATATTAATTTAAAACTTTATTTATAATATAAATTATAATTATATAGCTAAGCTATATTTTTATTATAAATTTTAAGTTTAAAAATAACTTTTTATATAATTAAGCTAGCTTAAAAAAAGCTATTTTTAGCTTAAAAACTTTTTATAAGCTTTAATTATTATTATTCTTAAGTTATCCTTTTTAATATAATCTTAGCTTAATACTTATTAATAAAGTTATAATTTATTAAATATTAAATATAAAACCTTATATAAGTTTTTATTTAAGTTTTATGCTTTTATCTTTATAAATATTATTATTATTTAATTTATATAATAATATTAGTAATTAAGGTTTATATTAAAATGCATTTTAATTTTAAGGTATGTTATTATAAATATATTAATTTAATTTATAAAATAAAGGTAATATACCTTAGCTTAATTTTTAAGCATTTAAGGAAAAACTATATAAAATTAATTTAGCTAAATTTTAATATAATAATAAATATTAAAAAATATCTTTATTTTATTATTTAATAAATTATATAAGTCCTTAATATATTTATAAGAATTATTAAAAGTTTTTATAAATTATATTAACTTTGCTAAATTTAAGCGTTTATTAAAAATATATTATAGGGGAAGAGTTTTATATAAATTATACTTCTTATTTAATAAAGGCATTTTTAAAATAGCTTAAGGTTATGCTAAATATAATATATATTTTTAATATAAGCTTTATTTCTATCTTTCCGTTAATAATAATAAGCCTTGTTAGCCATATTAATTTTTAATAAATTATATTACTAGGTTTAAGTTTTGTAATTATGTGCTTAAAATTAATAATAATGGTAAATATTATTTTAAGGATTATCCTTTTAGTAATTATTATTATTTAAAGCTTATTTATAGCTTTTATAAGGGCTATGCTTATAATTATTATTTTTAAAGTTATATATAATATTTATTTATACTTAATTTTAGGGCTAATAAGGTATTACAAAGCTTATTATTAATTTATTTTAATCTTTTCTTAGCTTAAGCTATAATAATTAATTATAATGCCATAAGTTAATTATTGCATCCTATATAAATACTTTATATTTAAAGAAAGACTTTTAAGCATTATTAGCAAGAATTTAATAATGCTTTAAATATTGCCTATATTTATATTATGTAATCCTTATAATAAGTAATAAAAAGGTTATTATTATAAAGATTTTATTATATATAACTTGCTAAAGTACTTATTAAATAAGTAATTAAGTATTTTATTAATGCTCTTTATGCAAGGGCCATAAATTATAATTTTAAGTTAATATATTTATAATAGGTTAGGTTAATTAAAATTTAAGTAAGCATTTTATTAATTATATACTTTTTAATAAAAGCTAATGGCTTTTTAGCATTATTAGCTATACTTATAAATTTTTATAATAAATATTATAAGGAGTAAAATTAATAAAATAAAGAAATATTAATAAAATAAATAATATTTAAGAATAAGTTAATAATAATAGTTTAATAATAAGCAAGTTATAATTATTAAAAGAAAGAAGTTTTTAATTCCTTTAAGCCTTAAAAGCTAAGGCTTTTTCCTATTATTAGGTTTTTTTATATTAGCTAAAAGTATAATGCATAACTTACGCTTGCTTATAATATAGCATTGCATTAGCTTTAGTAATTGCAATAGTTGCAAGCTTCGTCCATTTAGTAATTACAATAATTATAAGCTTTATTTATTTAATAGTTGCAATAATTATAAACTTTATTTATTAATAAAATAAAGCTTTATTAGGTTTTGCTAAGTCTTAAAAAGGATTTAAAAATAAGTTCGTTTTTAATAAAGTCTTATATATAATAAATACATATTTCCTAAATAGCGATAAATATATATATAAATATTATAAGGAATGCTACTTAATCTATTTAATCTTTGCAATATTTACTTAAAGAATTTAATAATGCAAAAAAGCTTAAAAAAGTAATTATTGCTATATAGCGCTTATTAATAAGAAAGATATAATTTTTTAAGTTAAAGAAATCTTTATAAGGTTGCCTCTTTTATCTTATTAATTTATAATGCCTATAACTATTAATTAATATTAATAAGTTTCTCATATATATAATAATCATATAGGAAGCAATTATATATTGGTATTGTTCTATCTAAGTTCTGAGAGGCTACGTGCCCCAAAGGGGATAACTAAAGTAGCCTTCCAAGTGCAAGGGTTGTACTTGCCAACAGCCAGACCACTAAGTACAAGAAGCATCAGCACAACGATCAACAACACTATATTCGGCAGTGCAGACACCTGGAACTGATAAAAACGCTTACATGCTCGTTACCCAACCAGCCCAAGGAAAAGCCTCCCGCTGACTTGCGAACAGGAAAACAGCAAACGCAATAATGGACTGGACTGTAAAAAGAGCCTGTCCGAGTCTCGGGAGGAACTCTTCTGGCATGACGATTTCCGGCGATAACTGAACGCTGTACCGCAAGACGAATGACTCCGAAGAAATCCACAGCCGATTCTCATGTATGGACGGACAAGTTGAGAATGTGATGACTTAGACGCTCGAAAGCTGAAGCCGGAATGTACAGGTGGTGGGCCCAAAGGAATAGATAGGTGTATGAGGACTCGAGCGAAAAAGAAACAGACCAGAGGGCGAAAGAGAGTAGCTCAGAATATGCAGGAAGAGACTAATACACACTGATCTTTGGGATGTGTTGTTTCTCGAAGGAGGTCTCACAGATCTATTATACTCACATCGCGAGCCGTCCCAGTTCCACCAATCTGGAGAATGCAGTCCGTGCATCGATCGCACAGCCGAGTTGAACTTGCTGCACCAACAGGTCATTACTGAGAGGCAATGGCTAATTTGGCAAAGTTTGGAAGGGGCCGATGCAAAATTCCCAAAGTGTGGGGAAGTTTTCCTCGGGCGAATCCTGGTGAGACCGGCTCCACTATGTTCAGTGTCACCAATGAGTGCCTAGGTAGATACCTAGGTACCCTCTTCGCTGCGTTGGAGCCTTTCAGCCCTGGCCCAGGACTGCTGCAGACTACGAACCTTGATTTGTTTGTTTCCACTGCAGATGTTTAAGAGTCACCAGTTCCTATTCCGGACACGGGCGGTGGCGCAAGCGGAGACGAGATGGGGTGATGGCAAAAGTAGCACACAGTAGGGTAGCGCCGATGAATCTCCGCAGTACTGTATGCCCAGTTGTTCGAGAACCTTTCCCAGACCGATCAGAAGTATCTATCCATCTCTTTCTGGGCCACCCAACGAGTACGACGGCCTCTTACTGACATCGGGTGGAGGGCCCCATTCCCAAGTCACCGACCTCCGGGTGCCCTACGCGCATGTGTAGAAAGCCGGGGGTTATGCCACCTCACTGGACAATAAGCTGGCGCCCTACCAGAACTCAAGGCCGAGGTATTCATGCCAGAGCATAGAGGGCGTTTGGGGGAGGAAGAGAAGTGTGTGGAGAGAAAAAGAGAGACAGGAAGAACGAGCAGGGGCAGGGTTCCCGACCAGCTGCCAAGCACTGTCACCTCCACCAGCCAGTTCACGGACAGTCCAAGTGGGACGGCACGACGTTAGACGAACGCCTGTTGATGCGGGTGGTGTACAGCCTGGTCTCCTCGTTTCACATCCGAGGTAACTCTTGAGCATGCCTAGTAGCCCAAGCTCGTCGCTCAGGAACGTCAGCTCCCTCTTCTATCCGACAACAGCAGACACAAGAAGCATTGGTTGTCTGTTGGATTCTGGAAGCGGTGGGTCTCTTCGTCGGATAGACCCTGTAAGTCCCCTCGGGTGTTCACAAAGACAGCCCGACATTACACCATCTTGGACAGACCTAGATCAACAAGAGACAAGCCGGACCGGCAAGGGCTTTTTTTCCATGGCCAAGGACGAGACCAATTTCAGAGCGCCTTCCAACCAGCGAGTCTTGTCATTCCAGTTGGCGTCAGCGACCATCCAGCCAGCATGCCGACGAAACTGATCGGCCGTAGCTGCTTCCGGGCCAGGTGGGATTCAGGTGGCCGGAGGTCCTGGAGGGGACATAGGGATCACTATGGTCTCGCCATTGGTTATCTTGCAGCTCATCGAGCGAGGCCTTGTGCCTCAATGAACTCCATGCGACTTGATCTGACGCCTCCGTGGCAGGTTTGCGAGGCCTCGATGACAAGTCTGGTCTCGATACAGATAATCAGCGCCTTCAAACCGACTGTGTCCTCGCTCGCATCTTGTGAAGTACTTCTCACTGAGTTCTGAATTCTGCTCATGCGGTATTAGTGTACTATCCTCAGTCTCTTCGGCACCAACGGATGGAGACAGACACGTCAGGGTTGTTGGGGTAATCCTTTTGATCGGGACTTTCTTCTGTGAGATGTTTGTGAAAGATGGAGCATTGCTCTTTTTAAGCGTGATGCCGTTCTTATCGGACATCGCCATGCTGGTCTGCTCGCTCGTAGACTGGGTATTGGGGCAACAAGGGGTGGCAGTTGGTCGCCAGCCCACGGTGTGAATCGATTCAAGACCATCCGAAGAAATCACAGAGCTGCGGGTACTACTCAGCTGAAATTCTGTAACTCACATTTGGGGTCAATCTGAACGGACTTCCTCTGGTACGATCATCCTCCCTCACGTTACACCTCGAATTCGTATCTTATCCAGTTGCACTAAGCTGTACATGGCAAAAATCATATACCAGAGCCACCGCCAACATCTCCTCACTGTCATTCATACAAGAGAGCCATAAAGATGATGTCTAGATCAGTCATGTACACGAGTTCTGGCTCTCCGAGGGCATCTTCGTTTTTTGGTTAGCAGATTCAGGCACATGTGCCAAGCCACCCAGGCTAATGATTAAGACAGGTGGTGAGTGATGATTTGGGGTATATTTATGATTCGCCGTAGCGAGACAGTAATTGTACATTGTATGGTCAATTCGTCTTCAGAATATTGCCCCTGGATCGCTGGCAGTGTTCCCACGCGCCTTTGCCTTTCCCCTCAAGAACGCCGAGCACAGCAAGCCAGTGGCAACGCTGACATTCAAGCTGTCCACAACATCAGACCCAGACAGGTTCGGGATGCTGATCTCGACGTTAGCAGCCCTCCTCAGAGCACGGGGCAATCCCTCGCCCTCACTGCCCACGAGGAGGATGCAAGGGTCCTTGAGCAGCGGGTCGTCCTTCTCCAGGTCTATGGTGTCGATCTGGGGCCGCTTGGAGTCGGACTTGGGGGGACAGGCAGCGTACACCTTCCAGCCGTTGTCCTTGGAGTTCCGCAGGAACTCCTCGACCGAGTCGACCGACAGCATGGTCAGGGCCTCGGCGGCTCCGGCCGAGGACTTCAGCACGACTGGGGTCACGGGCGCGGAGCCCTTCTTCGAGACCGCCACAGCCGTGACTCCCATGAAGCTGGCTGTCCTGAGGATGGCGCCCAGGTTCCCCGGGTCGAGCACTTGGTCCACGACCATGACGAGCGGTTTGCGCGAGCCCGCCTCGGTGCTCACGAACCCTGAGGTGCCGTTTATTTGGGCTTCCTCGTATGATTGGTGTCCCACGGCCAGCTTGAAGCCTGACCGATGCTGGTCCTCAGAGAACTCCTCCAGGGCGGTGGTTGGGAGTTGGGGCAGTGGTGAGGCTTCCAGAACGTGACCGTTATGTGGACGGCTCTCGCTCATCTTATTCAACATTGGCAGTGATGCTTCCTCAAGATATTCGACCCTGATGCCTTGGTCCCTTGCCAAGTCAGCTAGAAGTCTGTCCTTCTCCGCAGCCCTGGTGCTGCGGCCTTTGCCCCTGTAGATGTATAGCTTGTACATCTTTCGGCGGCCGGATTTCAAGGCAGCCTCCACGGCCGAAGTACCGTATAAAAATTGCGAGGCGGCCGTGGTATATGGAATTGACACTGGGCCATCATTCCTCCTTGGTTTCCACGCCTTTGCGTCGTCAGGGTCAGCTGAATCACGATCGGTGGATCTCGTCCTTTCTGAACGAAGGGGTGATCTTGGCGTCTGATCTCGCCTAGCAGAATCCAAGGGTTTTGCCCTCTGTGAACTTCTTTCAGCACGACCCGAAGACTCGAATCGACTCGTCCTTTCTGCGTCATATGACGGCCTTTGTCTTTGATCGCGCCCGAATGAGTCGGACGGCACCCGACTCTCGCGCTCTCTTCGGTTGTAACCATTGGAAGTATCGTCGAATCTCCTCTTGTCGTTCCCTTGGTCTCTCATACTTCGATCCGGCCTAGACTCTCCCCAAGGTTGTTGTTTTCGACCGCCTCGGCTTTCATGGTCGCCTGTGCTCCTTTCGAAATTTCTAGGTCGTTCACTTCTCCCAAAGTTCCGAGGTCCATCCCTCCGCGGCTCACGATCAAAGTCTCGAAGGCTCGATCGATTTCGTGTATCGCCCGACATCTGCCTCACAAAGTCGTCGTGTTGCAGGTTGCCTTCCCTGTCCCCTCCGTAGCCCGTCCCCACGCCATCAAACAGCTGTCCAGTCTGGAATTTCTTTACGAGACTCCTCCGACCCATAGGATCTCTGGGGTCAGAGAAACGGGCCCTTCTCGACTTGCGCGGCGGTCCTGGCTCTTCAGTGATGTCCTTCTTCCCCTTCCGAATCTTGTAGTTGATCGGGTTCTGCCGCGCGACTGCCCTCGCTCGCCGGCGCTCTTCAGGGCTGAGATATGGATCATCGCCAGGGCGTTGGCGGATTTCCTTGCGGGGAGATGAGCCTTGCGGTCGTGCTCTCTCGGACCGGTTGAGGCCCTGGTGGATGGCAGATAGGCGAGAGGCGCATCGCTGGGAGGAGAGGGGGAGGAGGGCGACTCGGAGCGCAGGGTTACGCCCTAACAAGGGCAGCTTTGTAACGAAGCTCATTGCATTGTTGGTGTCCTTGTACTCGAGCACTGCAGACAAAAACTTGTAGTGGTAGACAGTCCTTTCAGAGTTGAATGGGTGGTGGGGTCGATGTTCACTACTGTAGTTCCGCTGTTGTGGCTTATCCCAAATTTTTGCAGGGATCAGCTCTAGTGCAGGGATATGCCGAGTCCAGCGGCCCGCCTGGACGCACGCGGTCTCGGACGCGTCTCGCCGATTTAATCAGGCTGATTACAGACAATCTGGCCGAACGTCAACCTCATGCGACCGACCATTTTGCGCCAGACCGCCCAAACAAGCAACAAAACGAGGGTGCACAGGCTCTGACGCGTTCCCTGAAGGTATGCGACCGTCCTGGAAGTGTAATGCCTCAATTGACTGCGGAATCCCCAATTGCGACAACACTGTAGATGAATAACTCAAGATCCCGAGTCCTGCCTTGAAGAGAGAATTGCGACGATAGAGGCTGGCCACGGGCCCCCACGCCATGGAGGAGTCGCAGAACGCGGAGGAAGACTTGCTTGCCTTTCTCCAGCCGCTGACGATGCTGGATGAGTTCACATTCGAGGCGCGAACCCGTCACTTCGAAGATTCATCCGACGATGTCGATCAGGAGCCAATCCCTGGCCCAGCGCCGCCCGTTCCCATGGCTCCCATGGCTCCCACGGCCCCTGTGGCCCCTATGGCACCCATGAATCCGATAGACCCAATAGACCCGGCGGCGCCTGTGGCCCCTGAGCCACCGATGGTAGAACCCAACGGGGCTGCGAGCTTACCACCGCCCGAGACAAATGGGCACGAGGAGGACAAGACCGCAATCGAGCAGGACGATGATGCGATAGAATACGAGACACCGAAAGTCACCCGCAAGAGCCCGGCGAAACGTTCAATCAGGAGCCGCGCAACGCCCAAGGCAAGAGAAGGCGGGGACGAGTCGTCACACGACAGTGCCGCAGAACTTCTGAAGAGGTTCGGCACTTCCTCGGCCAAGAAGCGAGTCGAGGCCAAGCCAGACCCCGAGAGTGGTCCCGAAGCCAATGGTGGAAGCCCAGTGAAAACCGGGAAGAGGAAGACGAGGACGGCCACCGTGGAGTCTGCGGTCTTTGAGGCAGAATCGTCACCTGACCCTTGGAAGTTCGAGGTGGTCATCAAGCCTTTGCGGCCTGCAGAAGCTCAGGAGTACACCAAAGTGCCACCGGGTGACGAGATTTACCGCGTGTTGGAGGTTATCAAGACGGATGTTCCTGGCGAAGCGTGGCTTTCAGTGGAATTTGAGGACGGCCGTGTAGATCAGGTAAGCCGCAGCTATAGAACAGGTTCTTCCCGCTTTAAACACAGACTGCCTCGCTTGACACCATTTTCCTCCCGTCTTTGCAACGAAGTGTTTGGCAACGAACCAAGTGGAAAGCTGCCACTTGTCACTTGCTGCCCGTCTCCTTGGACTTCACTTCCTTCCTCTTCTTCACTGCAACAACATCGTTTCCTAGTATCTTTCCACAGTTGTCCTCAACAGGCGCCTGCCAGCTGCGATCCACCACTCCCGGGCAGCCCAGTCACAACACTGCAACCTTTCCCTAAACACCAAACATCAAGCAGAGCACAAGCTTGAGGTTCGGGATTGCTTATCAGTCGTTGCCTTCCTACCATCTTGGACTGTGCCGCAATAACTTCCACTGTCCGTGAGCCTGTTGCCTTCGCAGTTGCGCAGTGCATCGAACCACGGCACTGCAGCTTTTGTCGAGCGGAACCGGTATGTGAAGTTGACCAAGTTCTTCAAGTCCTTCACATGCACTCGGCTGTTTTACATCTCCCTGGCGAAGCTCATATCGCGTTGCAATCTTCATCTGAACTTCCCAATCTCGCAGCAGCGCCCAAGTCTGCCCTTGCCTGTTTTACCCGGCACAGTCAACACTTACATCCAAGCCTTTCGTGCACAACACTTGGCACCCTCTTTCGCACTCAAGACCATTCTCACTTCTCTCATCATCTCCGGGAACACCTCCCCGACGGCGCCTCTTCATCCACTGAGATCTGTTTGCGACAAACACATTCGTCCCTTTTCTTTTCCGTTGGGACCCACCGACCCGTCGCGTCCTGACGACCAACTTTTCCATCTTACTGCAATCGCTGAGCTAACATGAACCCGCTCAGGTGGCTTTAGACCAGCTTTCGAGCTATCCGAACGGGCGTCAGGCTCTCGCATACTTCAGAAAGCCACAAACCATGGATTCGGATCCGGACGATTACCAGAACATTGGCTACACACGTCCTTCAAAGAAGCGCAAAGCTATTACCCAGGACCCTGACTACGAGGGCAACATGGATGTTGATGAGGATGACGCCATGATGGATGACTTGGACGACATTGACGAGGACGATGATTACCCAGTTCATCCCGGCCACCACCGCATGAAGCAGAAGATGCGGAACTTAGGTCCCTCTTCTCGGACACGCGGCAGTGACCGAAACCGGCAGTTGCAGCCTCCGCCCGACTACGCTGTAGACGACTACCAGTCTGAAGATCAATCAGACCGAAAGCGCAGGAGCAAACGAAGCTTGCGAAAGAATGCTGGGGCTTTTCGATCCAAGACATTGTCTTCGCAGTTTGAGGACGACATTGACGAGCTCCAGAACGAGGACGAGTTCATAGTCAAGTCAGACCTCGTGCCTGAGAGAAAGTCTCGAAGACGTGGTGGTAATGCTCGCCTCCGTCGTGGCAGAGCCTCTATCTTTGCCAACCGATGATGACGACATCGCTTTTGAGCCACCTGTCCGACGTTCAGACAGAAAGAACAAAACCAGTGTGGTGATGGCGGAGCTCGGATGGGAGGATGAGACTTACGCCCCGGAGGATGACAAGATCCCAGCAGCACCAAAGGCATCTGGAGCCAAAGAAACCTTTGCTTCGACCCCAGACGGCCCATTTAAACAATCGCACTGCACCACGTGCGATACCTGCGGCAACGGTGTCATCGCGCCTAACAAGGGCATCATGATCTATTGCCAGGGCTGTGCAATGGCCTACCATAAAACCTGTCTTGGGTTCCGCAGCACTCGAGACCATCTGGTGACGAAAGTTGGGCCGGATCAGTTCGTCCTCCAGTGCAGACACTGCATTGGTGTCCGCAAGAAGAAAGATTTCCGCGCTCCAAGCCTCGAAGTCTGTCAAGTCTGCCGGGACAAGGGCCAGGCATGCGACGCTTTCGCTCCCAAGCGGTCGGCTTTGCAAGAGCAGAGCTGCGCGAGGAGAATGACGGACAAGATCCCATTGTCCCTATAGACCCGAAACTGATCAACAACGCTGCCAACGTCCTTTTCCGGTGCATCACATGCCACTGTGCCTACCACTTCGAGCACCTTCCCCCGTCTCACAACCATAGAATGGTTGGAGGCGATATTCGAGCCGATCGATTGGCCAAGTATTCAGTCCACTGGAAATGCAGAAACTGCCTGGACATGACGCGCAAGATCGACACCCTTGTAGCTTGGCGGCCTACGGACCGTGATGCCTACCTTCCAGGTCAGACCACTCTGGACGTGATTGAAGACGCCAAGGAGTACCTCGTCAAGTACGAGTCTCAGTCTTACGCTCATTGCGAGTGGAAGCCAGGCCCTTGGGTTTTTGGAGTGACGAATGGCGTGATGCGCAACGCATTCCCCAAGCGCAACGACGGTGCAAACTTGCTGCCGAAGTTCGACGAGAAGGACGCGATTCCCGAGGAGTATCTTCTTTCAGACGTTGTTCTGGACGTGAGATACAAGGGCACATTCAAGTTCGAGTCGAAGAAGGCAGATCTGGACAAGGTCTTTATGATAGATGAAGCCATGATCAAGTTTGAAGGCCTGGACTATGTTGACGCTGTTTGGGATGCGCCCCCCGACCATGACTCCGGCCTTCGCTGGGACGCTTTTCTCTCTGCGTACAACGAGTTCCTCAATGGCAAGCACTTCAAGTCTGAACCAGCGAGCAGCATCAAGGAACGTCTTCGAAAGTTCCGGGACATGGATTTCAGCAAGGGTCTCGCTTTCAAGGACGACCCGCCCAGTTCAGAGCCTCGTTTCAACGGCTTTTTGAGGGAGGGCAATACTCTCATGAAGTATCAAGTCCAGGGACTCAACTGGATCCTGAGTAGCTTCCATCAGGAGCGGAGCGCCGTCTTAGCAGACGAAATGGGGTTGGGAAAGACCATCCAGGTCATCGCCTTGATGGCTTCCGTCAGCCTGCAGTCTCCTCGGGCCTGGCCCTGGCTTGTGGTTGTTCCCAACTCGACCTGCCCCAATTGGCGGAGGGAAATCAAGAAGTGGGCCCCGGACATGCGCGTGGTTTGTTACCATGGTGGTAAGGAGCCGCAGCGTCTGGCATATCAATACGAGCTGTTCCCCAATGGCTCAAAGGACATGAAAGCCCACGTCGTAATCATGTCATACGACTCTGCCCAGGATGATCACACCAGGAGTCTCTTTAGAAGTGTCCAGTGGGTTGGCATGATTGTTGATGAGGGTCAACGGCTCAAGAACGACGCGAATTTGCTGTACGGCGCGCTTCGTTCCATGAGGGTCCCTTGGCGGCTGCTCCTCACCGGCACGCCGCTTCAGAATAACAAGCGTGAACTCTTCAACCTCCTCCAATTCATCGACCCGTCGAAGAATGCGGAACGCCTTGACGAGCAGTTCGCCGAGCTTACGAAAGACAACATTACGGAGCTTCACGAGATGATCAAGCCTTACTTCCTGCGGCGCACCAAGGCTACGGTGCTGAAGTTCCTGCCGCCGATGGCGCAGATCATCTTGCCGGTCTCCATGTCAGTTGTCCAGGAGAAGCTTTGCAAGTCGATCATGGAAAGGAATCCCGAGCTCATTCGCGCAATATTTGCGAATACGAAGCTCAAATCCAACGAGCGGAGCAGTCTGAACAACATCCTCATGCAGCTGCGGAAGTGTCTCGGCCACCCGTTTCTGTACAGTGGAGCTGTCGAAGACAAGAATGTGGACGAGAAGACGATGCACCGCAACCTCGTTGAGGCTTCTGCTAAATTTGTTCTTCTAGAGCAAATGCTCCCTCGGCTCCAGGAGCATGGCCACCGCGTGCTTATTTTCAGCCAGTTCCTTGGCATGCTGGACATTGTGGAGGACTTCCTCACTGGTATAGGCTTCAAGTACCACCGCCTTGACGGAAATGTCACGAGCCTCGAGAGACAAAAGCGCATCGACTCATTCAATGAGCCAGGTTCCGAGTACTTCGCTTTCCTCCTGTCGACCCGTGCAGGAGGTGTGGGAATCAACTTGGCGACTGCGGACACAGTCATCATTCTTGACCCCGACTTTAACCCACACCAAGACCTGCAGGCTCTGTCTCGAGCCCATCGCATTGGCCAGAAGAACAAAGTTCTTTGCTTCCAGCTGATGACGAAGGGCAGCGTCGAGGAGAAGATTATGCAGATTGGGCGTAAGAAAATGGCCCTTGACCATGCGTTGGTCGAGAGTATGGATGCCAAAAACGAAAACAACGCAGAGGTCGGAGAGGACCTCGAGTCCATCTTGAAGCATGGCGCAGAGGCTCTTTTCAACGACGGTGAAAAGGAGCACATCAAATACGATGCGGCTGCCATCGAGAAGCTGCTGGATAGATCTGCGATCAAACCGACACTAGCGGCTGACGATGAGGATGATGCAACCAAGAGACCTCAATTTTCATATGCTCGCGTCTGGCAAAATGATTCTGGGGATTTAGCGAATGAGTTGCAGGTGGAAGAAAACCCGGAGGTTCCCATGAGTGTATGGGACGAGATTCTCAAGCAACGAGAGGACGAGGCAAAGAGAAGGGCCGAGCTCAACAAGGAGGTGCTTGGTCGCGGTGGTAGACGACGCCAGGTAAGCCGGTTGCAGAAGTCAAATACATTTCACCAGTGACTAACTCCCTCCAGGCTGTCAAATACGCTGGCGAGGCCGTCGATGGCCTTGAGGACCAGCCAGTTGGAGGCATTGCTGAGACGAAGCTGCCTTCTGAGGTTGACGAGGATTTCATTAGCACTGATTCCTCTGACAGTGATTCTGAAAACGGTAATGTTGATTCTGGTACGAACTCACAGGGACAGGCAAAGAAAGGTACAGCACGCTCTCGAAAGACTCCAAAGAAGCAAACCCCAAAGAAGCAGTCTAACAAGAACAACCCTCAGCCTTCTCCATCGAAGCGATCTACCCCCAGAAAGCCCCAGACGCCCAAGAACACCGTCACACCCCGAAAGGGCCAGACACCCCGAAGCACAAAGACCCAGTCCCAGCGAAGAGGCCGCGCGGGCGCCCTAGGAAACACGTCGACGGCCAAGTCAGAGAGCGCAAAGGAGGCGGCGGCGACGCCCACCAAAATCAAGGGCAAAGGCCAGGACAAGGCCACCCAACCCGAGGAGGAGGACAGTCAGGGAGAGGACGTGGAGGAGGGCAGCCAGGGCGAGCCTCAACCGGCGGATACAGAGACTTCATCAATGCAGCCCCGCCCGTCTCCTCAGCCTTCAGCGGACCAGGGCCTCAGTACGCAAATGCCTGGCCAGGGCGAGGTCAAACAGTCCAGCAACCGCAGCAGCCCGGACCCCATGGTGACTTCGCGCGACAATACCCCCAGGCACAGCTCCCTCACACCCCTATCCCGTACCCCATCCCCAATTACGGAGCCAGCCTAGTCCAGCACGGGAACTATGGGCAGTACGGCGCCACCTACGGAGCAGTGAGACCCGGATTAGTTCCAGGGAATACTAACTTGCAGAACATCAACGGTGGGGCTGCGCACCGGCCTCAAGGTATGCATCCTACTTATTACTTACTAGTCCCGAAGAGATTCTGACCCCTCTCAGTACCTCCTCTGCCCACAGTACGATCCTCATCCATAGGTCCTGTGAGATCTAATGGGACAAGCTCGGGCTCATCAATGTCTCGAACACAATGTAAGAACTGTCATCTCTTTCATGAACAGGGCCGGGCATGCCCCAATCTCAAAACAGAGATTCAGTTACGACTAGCGCTTGACGACGTCAAGTCGCTCTCTGGCGGCGATCCCGTTAGAGTTCAACAGAATAGAGAGATTCTGCAGAACCTTTTGAAAGCGAAACGACAGGGTTCAGCAGGAGAGATTGCTGGCTCCGCTGCTCAGCCTAGTCCGCAACCACAACTACTGCCTTTCTCTGCCGCACCCCAATCAACCCAACCACCGCAGCAACCACCGCAGCAAGAGCAAGCTCGACTTGTTGCACCACCGCAATCTGAAGAAGATTCTTCTGGGTCTGACGATTCGACGTCAGAGGAAGAGTCCGAGTCCGAGTCGGAGGAGGAAGTGGGATCCGGACCCAATGTGGGCTCTGAGCAACAAGGCGACGAATAGACCGTCGAATGGCTGGTTCATCTGCGAAACCGGCACGCAGAGAAACTTCTCTGTGCATGTCAAAGCCCTTTTCACTCTGCTGACCAGCCCTCCGGACAAGCTCGTCCTTGTTCCCCTTTCTATCGGCCAGGCCTGATAGATACTTTGATTGGACTGTTTGACTGATTAGGCAAATACAATTTTGGAAGCCATTTGGCATTGTTTCCCCTTCTTTCTGACTAGTGAACGACAGTTTCGGGTTGTTGCCTGCTGTCTCTGCTGACTGAATCCCAGAGATGGACAGCAATCACGTGAGGGAGTACAACAACATGCTGCGGGTATCCGTGGATGCATACAACCTTATTTGACGTCCTCCGTTTGCTCAGGACAAGTGACCCTAGCAGGATGATGTTAAAAGGACCTCAAACGCTCTCCCTCATCAGGGGCTTCTTCGGCAATGTCCAGAGTCCTCTTGTTCCAACTGTTCTTGATATTCTTGCATGGGTCTTAGAGAAGAACCCCGGCCGCCTTTGTCCTCCTCTCACTGTGCTCTGCTACTCGAACTATTGAGTGCTGCAGGGTATAAAGTAGGTGCTGCCAGAGACCTGCCTCCGTTTGCACCCACCCCCTTTATCAGACCGCCATCCCCTGGAGTGTCCCATCAGTCCACTTCGATCTCGCCATGGAAGCCCATACTGGCCACAATCCTTCTGGCCTGCGTCCTTCTCCGAACACTCCCTCCGACGTGAGCTGCTCCTCAGGGCCTTGTTCTGTGGTCTCAACTCGTGAAACCTCCCCAGCCTCATCGACGCACTACCCCCTGGAGGCGACGTCCGCAGCCCGGGATTTGTTCATATCGTGCCCTGACCATCACGTCGTCGCCGCCGAGCTCCCCTCATCCGGCTGGGATTTGTCCAGACCGCGGTCTGATATGTTCAGACCGTGCCCGGATATGTCCAGACCGCGGCCCGGTCTGCGTGCCGAGTTTCCCTCGCCCCTAGAAATGAACCCCAATCCGTTTCAATCCGTCAATGACCGGCGAAGCAAACTGGCTGTCGACAACCCTCGGGCTAGTCACACTCCTTCTGGCACCACAGCTGACGGCAGCAACGTCCGTGACCATCTCAAGTCCACGTCCGTCAGCCAACCTATCGCACCAATCGCTCTTCTTCATCCCTCGTCCGTACTTCCCCCCTCGTCCACGATCCCTCGTGGCCTCTCTGCTTCCAACTGGCGTACCTCGCACGCGAGTTTTGACAGTCAGATTACGCCATCACCCACCACCTCGTCAGTAGAAACCTCTTGTGCTTCTCGCAATATCCAAACCAATCCCCTTGCGACCACGAGCGGTGCCAACCTTTTCTGCTCGCCGACCGCGAACGTCGATTCCAGAAACAGCAACAGTCTTCTGGGCCACAACAGCTACGTCTCGGTCGCAGGTCTCAGTAGCAGCAGGCCATTCTCTACCCACCACCACGACACACACCACTTCGACCTCCAAAAGTCTGACAGGAACATCGCGAAGATGCATCCACAGACTGGTAAGATCATTGCCGACGCGGACATGGACCACGCCATGTCTTACTGCTTCGACCGCGGCGGCGGCCAGTACACCCGTCTCGTGCCGGTCGACATGCTGCCGGTAGACCTTAAGAACATCCCGCGCCGTGTCGAGACCGACGAGGGCATGATCGTCCTTCCCGTGCCCCGCCAGCCTGGTCCCGATGGCCAGCTGGCGGATATCCAGCTCGAGGCCCAGCCTGTCGTCACTGTAAGTTGTTCCGTTCCGATCACGATTCGTTGTGTCTGAGATGTGGGTGACGACCATGGACATGTAACTTGGGAGAGAGTGGTGACTTGCTTGCTTGCCTGTACTTACATGCTGTTTCTGGATATTGACCACTGGGGGAACACTTGAACTAACCCAAGGATGCGCACCACAGCCACCTTCCAGCCCCAACGGCGTCGCGACCGACAACATCCAGGTAAGCAGGAAGCAAGCAAGCCACTCTCGTCATACCCAATACATGTCCCTGGGACCGCCCGCCCCCGAAACCCATGATGCCGACCGTGTGAACCGCACATGAGTGTTCAGATGACTGACATATCATGACCTCATGTGACAGTCTCGCATTGACTCGATTATCAACGCCTCTCCCGGCCCCGGCGGCAGCAACTCTCTCGTCCTTGCCACTCGCGGTTTCGACGGTACCACCCCGACTCGCGCCCTCCAGCACCACGGCGGTGGCGGCGCCGGCAGCAGCGCCCGCCGGGAGAAAATCTATTGCGACAAATGGATCCATGACGGAACCTGTGCTTTTACCCAGCAGGGATGCAAGTACAAGCACGAGATGCCGCACGATCGTGAGACCCAGGAGAAGCTGGGTCTCTTCCACGGATACCCGGCCTGGTGGAAGAAGCAGGCTCTCGACCAGCAGCGTCCGCTGGCGATCGACGATCGCCCTGTTAACCTCAGTGCCGGCCGCGCCGGCTTCTCTGCCCTCGGCGCGAGTGCCAGTATGGGAAGTGGTCTGAGCACCGCTGTGGTTTCGTCCAACTGGCGTGCGGGTCCCGGCCCCGTGGGTGAGTCTGGTGTCCAGGCCAGTCCTACTTCTCCGTCCCCGACTACCGGAGGAAGCGGCAGTGTCCTTGGTCGCGGAGGCAGTGTCGGCTTCGGCGGCAGCGGTCGTGGCAACGCGCGCCAACCTCGCACGTTCGGTGAGTAATAGAAGCATTCTCCTGTTCCCTCCTCCCAAGCAGACCCCGCAGCACTCTCCGCGCCATCACGAGGTTGAAACTCCCGCCACTGGAGCTTGTCGCTGACCTGTCATCCCGCAGCCTCTTTCCAGCCGGCCACCTACGGCCCAATCGCACCCCCGTCTCGCGCCGGCGGCAGCGGCAGCGGCTCCGGCTCCGGTTCCGCGACTGCGGCCACCCGCAGCACCCGGGCTCTGACTGTCTCGTCCGCGGCCAGCACCGGCAACGAGGACGGTGCCGCCGCCGGCGGCGCCCCGTACAACCACCACACCCACCAGCAGCAGCGTTCCTCCGGCTTCGACTCCGGCAACCCGTTCGCGCCGCTGGGCGACCTGAACCAGTCGGGCAGGGCCGCCAGGGCCCGCCGCGACGAAAGCAGCAGCGCTGACACCACCGCGGACGGCGACGAGGAGCAGCGCGGTGCCCCTCTGTGAGCTTGTTCGCCTTTCGCCAGTACGAGTTCGCCTTGTGCCTTTTCGCATTTTGCCTTTCCGACTGGACCTCTCTCGGGTGCCTCGCCGTTTGTGACTCTCGTGTCGCTGCTTTTCCGCCCCTTTCCTCAAGAAGAGCTCGATCAGCACCTTGCGTGGTCTTTGCCTTGCGTGGCCTCTTGTCTCGCGCTTGGCTGGAGCCTTTGGGATTCGGAAGGGAGTGAGGACGGAGCAGGGTTGCGTTTCCTCATGGCTTGGGCGCGCTTCTTGTGTCTGCCTCTGCTGAAGCGTTTGGCAAGCTCCGGATGGATCAGGCTGACGGACACGACTGGCTGATTTGGTGTTTACGGACGGATTGATGGATTGATGATGCTGACGAACGATGATGGACCCGCCGGCCGCCTGGTTTGATGGATTGATTCACTGGATTTTTTCACTTTCATTTGTGTTGTTGTTCCACCCCTTCGCTTTTCGTTGGATTTGAGAGGATCAGGGATCGGAGTGAAGGGATCGAGGGGTTGTTTTTCTGTGGTTGAGCCGAGCCGAGGGGTGAATTCTAGGGGATTGAGTTGAAGGAAAATCGTTTGCGTTGCGTTTCCGGGGCTCTCGAGACAAACAGAGCCTCTTTTTCCCCGTCCTTGAGTGCCGCATCTGGTAGCAAGGCTTCCGTGTAATATAGAAAAAAACGGCGAGGTTCCTCCAGCAATGGAGTTGACGGCATCGGCGGCGTCATCCAAGAACACCAGGTCCATCATCACAGAAAGTTTTAGGCGTGCGGTGTTTGGTCTTTTTACATTCATTCGGTTTGACCATCACAGGCCTGTCTATAGTGAAGTGGTTATACCTCAATCAACCAGCTATAGTGAAATGGCACGCACGCCACCACCAACGAGTCTTTCTAAATGGTTCGTGATCTACAAAACGTGCCTCACAACCACCGCACGCTCCAAGTAGGCTTACCCTTCCTGAAAGGCACGACCTCGATGCCCTCACCCTTGATACTCTCCACCACAACCTCGTCCTTCTTCTCCACCACGATCCTCTCCTTGGGCTCCTCAACCCCGTAGAAACCCCGCCCGAACCCGCCCAGGAAGCCCTCCAGCAGCTCCTGCGTGACCTGAGCCTCCTCGATGTCCCCCCTGGCGACGGCCTCCTCCAGGGCCGTGAGGACGTATGCGACGGCGTAGGGCTGCGTGAAGACGCCTGCCGCGGTGTTGCCCTTGCCCTTCTTGGCGCTGATGTCGTGCGGCGCCGAGTCGGTGCCTAGGAAGAACTTGCCCTTGCTGGTGACGGCGGCCCGGAGGAGGGCGAGGCGGTCGTTTGGCATCTGGGCGCGAGTGTGTCAGTCACGATGGCGCGGTGGCGGATGGGGGAGGAAAGGCTGCGGGTGGAAGCATTTTTATTTACCTTTGCGACTGGCTTGCAGTAATGGAACTGTTGTTCGTGGCTCGTTAGTAAAATTGGGCGGAATAAAGAGGGTGTGACATGACGACGCCAGCCGTCGTGCATAACTTACCACATCCCCTGCCCAATCATCGACGATCAAGAACCTATAATTCAAGAGAGTCAGTGCTAGTCCTCCATCGCTCCGTACCGGGGCCGGATGAAAAGGATCCTGCTCACAGGTGGTGGGCTGTGATGGTCCCGACCACGGTGTCACCACACGCCTCGACAGCCTTGACAGCATCAGCAGTCGTGCAGTGTTCCAGGACGATCTTGAGTTTCGGGAACTTCGTGTGGATCGCCTTGAGGGTCGGCAGGAAGCTCGACTCGGCATTCATGATGGTGATGTTCTTCTTGTGGTCGCTGGCGCATTCACCATGGATGTTCTAGGCATTACTGGGGTCAGTGTTTCGATGCCAACGGGATCTGATCACTGAGTTGGAACGTCCTCCGGGGTTTCTGTATCTTCAAAATCACGGAACGCATCTAGCTGGAAATCTGAGGGATGAAAATCAAACACTTGCGCAGTCTCAGACCGTTGTAGTCTTAATCTGAACTGCGTCATTGTCTCCCAGTGAAGGGTGCATGACTCCGTGTCCAAATGAAATGGTCTCATCATCGACTGCAGAGGAGTAACAGGTACGGAAGGGCTGTAGAAGCACTCGGAGCCACCCGCTTCCCCTGTTTTCTGGTCGCCATGGAGGAGCATGCAGGGATGGAAAACCAAGGAGCTTACCAAGATGAGGCCCTCCTCTTCCATAGCCGCGAACACGGGGTAGAACTGCTGGTAGTCCGTCACGCCAGACTCCGAGTTCGTCGTCAGACCCGCCGGGTAGCTCTTGATGCCTGCGATTCCGGCCTTCTTGGCCTCGCGGACCACCTCGGGCGTGATGGAGGGGTGGAGGTAGAGGGTCATAAGGTAGGTGACAGTGGGATCCACTTTAAGCAGGCGCCGCTTGTACTCCAGGGCCATCTGGACGTTGGTGACGGGAGGGACGAGGTTGGGCATCACGTATGCCACGCTGCAGTCGGGAGCCTTTTGTGTGAGCCGATGAACTGTGACGGCCTACGTTGGGCGTGGGAGATGCCTACTTGACGCCGCCCTGCCGTATTGTGGGCACGACGGCAGCAGACATGGGGCCATCTCGAACGTGGACGTGGAAGTCTGCTGCTGCTGGCAGCTCGTACTTGTCTGGGAGAGGCATGTCGGTGGAGATCTATGAGATGGTCAGTCGAAGGATTATCGGGATGCAATGGAGTTGAACCTCAACCGCTGTTCTTTTCTCGTCTCCCCAGGATCAATTGGGACGGATCTTACGTTGTGTCAAACTATCACTACAGTATAGCAAAGCAAAGCAGTCTCATTAAAGCAATCTGAAATGTCAAACCTAAATGAGCGTGAGAAGGAGAAAAGCCCACCTTTTAACACCCCTGCAAACCGGCATGAGAAGGAAAATCTGGAGCCAGTTCAAGAGTGAGGTCTCTCTTCCCCACACACGACTGACACGGCGCAGTAGGAGGCTAGCCCAGGATGCTCAAATGGGGGCCCCTGCAAGGTCGGAAGAAGCTTGGGCCACCGCCTTGGCGGGGTCCCTTTGGGAATCTGGAAGGTACGTATCTCCCACCCTACCTGCCCACCTGCCTGCACCTCGACTGCGATTGTGATGCGTGGGGAAGCGTCGCTGACGGTGTTGATAATCGTCTACCTAGCGCCTCGCAGCTGCAACGCGTCTACACGACAGCCTTTTCTCCCAATTATTTCCTGCCAATTCTCACTCCGACCATTCCTTAGGCTGCCACCAAGCACTGAACACATAATGCTTCCCGAGAGCCTGCAGTCTTCTTGCTGATCTTTTCACTTGTCCGCTGCGGCGGTACTGATTAGGAAGGGAGCCTCGTCTGCCCACCATCGTCATCGTCATCATCACCACCAACACCACCTGCGACAGCTTATCCAGCGTACTTGCAGCTGTCGCCCTCGTCTGCTGCCTCTCTCCTCCAAAGATACCCACCACATCCGCATCCTCAACTCACCATGGACAACGCCGTGTCTGTCCTCTTGGGATTTCCTCCACCCCAGCCGTTTGCGACAGACGACGACTACGATATTGCTGTCAACTCCCACCTGCAACAAATAGACCATCTCTTTAGCAAGGAGACTGCTACCATTGCACGGCATGGCATCGAAATTCTCCAGGTGCGTCCCCATACTCTTGCCACTCATGAAGTGCATCGAACTGACTCTTTCCCTTGTAGCTATTAGATCCAGCTGTCAACAGCATTTCCTATCTCGCCGTCTTCAACACCCTCTCCGAAACCACATCCTTCCCACCCGAGGCGAGATTGCAGGCCCTAGTCACATTTCTTTTGACCTTCGATGCCAGGCAGATCCGGTATGTGGGAAACCACCTCACAACATGGCTGGACAAGGTGGCATCAGGCACACTTCTGCCGGTAAGCTCCCCCATGCCCCGCGTTGCACCTCCTCTCTAACATCGCCTGCCTTCAGCACGATCTCGCAGTCGAAGTTCTAGCCACGGCCATCCTCCGGCTCGATCCTAGCGGAGCGATGCTGACGTCCCATCACCTATCCCTTGTGCGACTAGCCTATGACAACAATGTCCCCGAGCCAGCCTTCCAAGTCACGGACAAACAAATCGTCTACTTTCCCGGCATGTCTCGAGATCAGGGCTCCGGAAATCGGACAGATGTAGCAATTCAGAAGCCACTCTGCGATCTGAGCCTCCCCCCAACGGGCTACATCATGGTGGAGACAGGCCTCACCACTGCGGTTACAGTTGACCAAGTCCTGCAGTACGACCTCACATGCGGCCTGCTATACTGCTCCAAGCGGCAGTGGGTAAAGGCGCGTACGGCGTTCGAGCGAGTCATCACGCACCCCACACGCGATGGCGGAGTCAGCAAGATCATGACGGAAGCCTTCAATAAATGGGTTCTCGTCAGCCTTCTCGTGAACGGACGCACCCCGACCGTGCCTGCCACCACCGGTTCAAACGCCAGCAAGACGTGCGAGACAACGGCAAAGCCCTACTTGTCCATCGCGGCTCACTTCGACACTATGGTTGCTGCGTCCCTCAAAGCATTGGTCGAGGCCAACTCTGCCGTGTGGGCGAACGACAGAAACACGGGACTGGTCCAGGAGGTCCTGGCCGCACACCAGAAGTGGCAGATCATTGACCTGAGGAGGATCTACGCCAAGGTGTCGCTAGCTGAGCTCCGCCAACAGACCTGCAGTGCCGAGACAGGCGACCTTCTGCCCAGCGATAACGACGTGGAGACGCTGGTCCAAGGCATGATCAGCTCCGGCATGCTAAACGGCGTTATCGAGAAGCCGGCCGGCAAGCCTCCATATCTTAAATATCTCTCCGAGTCGGGCGACCTGTCCGAGAAGCAGTACCAGCGCGAGATCGCCGCCATCTTCGTCAGGATGAAGGACCTGGAGGCCATCTACAAGGCGACCAGCGCGCGCCTGGCCACCAACCCGTTCTATGTCAAACAGCATATCAGGGAGTCGCAGCGCGAGAAGGAGCTGGGCCACAACAAGTCGTCGGCGTTCGAGGCCACCGTCGACGATGAGGATCTCATGACGGGTGTTTCCGAAGGCGGTGCGTTGTAGTCGAACGCGCCCTCCGGTGAAGGCATGCATGGAGTCTAGGAGGCAACAACTACATCGGACCGCCGTCGAGGGGAAGGTCATTCGTCGACTGCGGCAACGTGGAAAAATCTCTTCTCGGTCGACGGTGGTCGGTGCGAGGCACACAGTAGTCAGTGGTAGCCGGCGAAGAAGTCCGCATTGAATATCGACTGCTGTCGAGGCAGTCCCAGCAGCTTTGTTGGACAGCCGGACGGTCAGAAAGTTTTTAGTTGGTCGTGGCCATCGTTGTAGGCGTAGACATGACCCCATCAGAGCTGTTACGACCAGGCCATCTGGGAGGCTCCGGCTCAATAGTTAACAAATACAAAAAGCAAACACATCACATTTCTAAACACGAATCATCCAACTTCCATTTGGTCACCAAGAAAGATTCGCGTGACCTATGCTGAGTGTGGCATTTCTTCCTACCTCCCGTAGATATACCTTACCTAGGCCATCGGCCGTTTCGTATCTTCCACTCCCATACCACAAAAACCGAACATGGCCATGGTAGTAGTGTTCATTTTACTTTGCATTGATACTACATTCTTTGCCTTCAGCCCCCTTCCTTTCAGCCAGAATCAAATTCATACACGGGCCAGGTATTAGTCAGGTATCTATTGCCTATTCCCTTTTCCCCGAACAAATATGAGCACAAACACCAAGTTCACTAACAAAGCTTCGTGAGACAGACAGAGCGTCTGTGGTTGAGCAAGCGATTGCTGCCCTTCATTCTCGTAATCAGAAATCCGCCTACAGCGCAGCCGATCCATCATCGGCCGGCAAGTCCCCCCCTCAGTTCAGCTCATACTGCTTGATCAGCTCGGCCAGCTTGTTGGCCTCGGCGACGTAGTTCAGCGGCGCAGCGCTCATGACCTGGTATCGGATCCTGTTCAGGGCGTCAGAAGATCAATACTTGTGTCTCGTATAAAGATTCTTCCCGAAGCTGTGCTCCATGTCAGAAGAGGGGGAAGGTGCTCACCGCTGCGTGTCACCAAAAGTGTCCATCTTCGCCCTACACCTGAAGCTAAACTTTGAGCAGTTTGCCTCGTCAAAGACCTGCGCCAGCTTCTCGGCGTCGTTCTCCCTCAACTCGACAAGCTCGTCGGCGGTCTTCCCTCCCATGATGGCCCGGCCCGTGTCGTCGAAGCAGCTCAGCCACAGCTGACCCGTGTGGTCATTCACGTTGACGGACATGATGTACCGGTACTCGGGCCTGTCGTGGGTGACATTGCACTTCTCGCATCGCCAACCGCCGTCCTCCTCAATCACCTTCTTGTTGCAGCCCTCGGACTTGCAGGCCGGGTAGCAAAAGTTGTCCTGCTTGATGTACACAATCGTCGCCTTCACGGTGAAGTAGGCCACGTCTTCCATGCCGAGCCCGGAGTCCTTCACCTGGAGGATGTTCTTGGTGTCGTCCTTGCGGCCGGTTGCGTTGCCCATGGAGGCCATGTTGTTGTGCGAGGCAAAGTTGTCAGTGCGGCCCGACGCATCGTACCAGCCCTTCAGCCGGTGTGCCTCTGCGATGTCGGGGTTGATGGCCATGGTGCCAGACGATAGCAGAGACAGCGACCGGCCTCCAAAGTCGGATACGCGGACGCCCTTGAACGCAACGACCGACTCCAAGGGCGCATCAAAGCTGGTGGCTGTCTTGCCCCAGATGGTCACGCGCACGGAGTATGCACTATCATCGACAATAGTGAGTTCCCGCTTGTTATAAGGCTTGTTAGTCGTCTTGGAGGTGATCTCGCCCACCTCCCCGGCCTCCTTCAAAATGCCAACAACATCAACGGTGGTATCTTTCTCGGTCTTGTTCAGATCCTCGATCCCGCAGAAGTTGAAGCGGACCTGCGGGACATTGCTCTGGTCCTCGGCTTTCTCGATGACGGTGTCGCGCTCGAAGGTCAGCTCGTAGTCGTTGGGGAGATTCGAAAATTGCTTCTTGGCGAGCTGTACGCGACAGGGGTTGGAGATATAGTAAACCTCTCCATCCTGCAGGAGGTCGTAGAACTGGTCGCACTGGTCGTTGAAACCGGTCGCCTTGATTTCGCCACTCTCGTCCAGCAGGTTGACGCTGAAGAGCTTGCCCTCGCCGGTGGACTTGTGCCATGTCTTGATGTCGGATTTGGCGCTCACCCGGGCCTTGATGGTCCACTTGTTGGCATAAGGCGACAGTGCCTCGATGGGGTATATGACGTTGTTTCCGATCCGCGATGCACCTCCCACGCGTGAGGGCAGGTTCTCCTTCTTGACTGCAGGCTTTGACTCTTCTTGCTTTGTTCCGTAGAATCCGGTGCCGCCAATGGTCGTGTTGGCTGCGGCGTCGGCGGGCTTCGCTTCGAAGGCGCCGGGCTCGCCGATTTTCTCTGGTGTGCCGAGGGACTCGATGACATCAACGTCGAGGACGATCAGAATGCTAGTCGGGTTGGTCAGCAGGTGTATGTATTTTTCTCACGTCATGATATCCAGCATACTTCTTTCCCTTGACTGAGTTGGACTGGAATGACTTGACGCGCAGGATACAGTTCTTGACAAGTTTGCCATCGTGGACGACGTGATTTGCCTGGGTGGCGAGCATGCACTGGACATAGTTGTCGATGTCGCTCAGGACGATGCGGTATCTCTCACCACCACCCGGTTGTTGTGCTGCCAGTGGTTTGATCTGGAGGCACTGCAGGACGGGCACTGGGAACTGCAGCGGCCCTCGCGGGGTCGTTGAAGATGGCACTGGGAGGTCATTGTCAGTACTTGAATGAGGGGCATCGCGACGGCGCGGCCAGCACGGAGCATACTTCAGAGCGCCTCTGGTGATTTGGTTGGCAGCGTCGCCCATTTTGTCGGCCGGTTTTCAAAGACGAGTATGACAGATTGGAGTTCAACACACGAGAGTTTCGAGGTTCCAAGATGTTGATGAAGTGGCGTGTGCCTCTGTGGTTGTTTAGCACTTTCCGTCCAAGACCAAAGACGCGTCTGACGCGACTTTCCTGCGCCCGCCCCGCGCCAGTTAATTAGGCAGGGGTGGGTCCTGGCCGCTTACATAATACCGTGACGGACGAAGCAGCCAAGGTACCACAACATACAAACTGCCTAGGTATCCCGGTACCTGGGTATCTGTTGTACAGTGCACATCCTTAATTTTTATCCATGTTAGTACCACCCCTACTGACGATGTAACGCTATTTTAATTAATTAAAACTCTTTATTTCTGCTCTTTTAAATGCATTTAAGGGGCTGACTGCTCTGTTAAGGCGTTTTCTTATGCCCTTAAGCCTTAGGTAAGTTTTAGCTATTAACCCCCCCTTTGCCTTTATTTAAACATATTAAGATAGCTAAAAGCTATAATTATAATAAATAAGAAGTTTATTAATATATAACGCTATAATTAAGTAACCTTTAAATATTAATCTTTTTACCTTATAAGCCGGTATTAATATTATTAACATACATTAACCGCCAAGATTAAGAACGCCATGCGATTCATTAAAATCTGCACAGGGGACCCTTCGCCAACACCTTAGAAGTCACTCAATTCAAAAAATTCAGGGGTTGGGGTGTAGTTTTCAGAAATATTTGCTGACTGGATAGAGTACGGCTGCCTGATGCAAGATTTGATAAGCCGAGAGCTGCGCTGACTTCCTGCCTGCCTGACTGGGCTAATAAGTCCTGCGAAACGATCCTTATTAGAGTATTGCCTTGTTTCTCCGCACTTCGCCTTATACGATCGTTTGGTGAGGCAGCATGGCACTCTGCGATCTGTGTTTGTCGGTCACTTTCATGTCGCTACCCTCACTGCCGCTGGGATTAAACTCAATCAGCAGACTTGCAGACAAGGCAGAAACCATAGTGGTCAGCTTCCCCTCAGGGACGGGAGAAGATATCCAAAACGAAACGGAAGAAACTCGGGGTCCCTTCGACTTTGCCTTTCACCGCGACCTGGATGGACTGGAAATCTCAGCAAACTCATGTCCTCTTTGCAAGATAGTACATACAGGCGTTCGGGCATGGCTTGACACATGGAACGACGCTGCTACCAACGACAAGGCGTTTATTGAATTCGGAAGGGACAGTCAACCTATTCCTATAGATCAACAGCTGTGGCTTACGGCCTGTTCAAAAGGCCAACAAGGATTCCGTGTTTGGGCCCAAAACCCCGTGAAAAGTTGCGGTTTTACCTGTTAACAATTGTGGGGTTTGGTGTTGAATCGAGTCAGTACTTGGATGTCCTTCATATACTAATAGTTTTGAATAGTACTAAATTAATATTGCAGCACATCCTCTTGCAGAAGAGCGCCCATCAATACGAGATTCAGCATCTATTTCCATTCTAGACCTTGTGGCTGCGTGGCTAAGGCGATGTGTAGGCGGCCATACGAACGAGGAATGCTCTAAGTTGAGTACAGCATTACCGACAAGAGTACTTGATGTCGGTGTTACCGGAGATATCATCAGGCTAGTCGACGGTGGCCAGTTTGAGGGAAACTATGCCGCCCTTTCCTACTGTGTACGCAGCATCTGAATGTCTTTATAGAGCTACTTTGCATGACGCACAGCTAACAGTCCAGCTTAACCATTTAGTGGGGAAACTCTCCTCCTTTCATTACATCACATGAAACCATCAAAGCCCGGCGATTCGGTTTTCACATCACTGAAGCGCCTCAAGCACTTATCGACGCAATAACTATAACCCGCCATCTACATCTCCGCTTCCTATGGGTCGACAGTCTCTGCATTTGCCAAAACGATGCAGAAGATTGGGCTCGTGAATCATCAAGGATGGTCGATGTCTACTCGAACGCCCATATTGTCATCGCCGCCAGCCGATCCGATGATTGCAACAAAGGTTGTTTTCACGTACGCCAAGACCGCCCAACGGTGATAATTGATCTTCCAGGCGGAGTCAACGCCGTACATGCAACCATACTGTTCCACGCAGATCAAGATGTTTTGTTTAATTTCAACCAAGGTAGTTTTCATGGCGAGCCACTATCAACTCGAGGCTGGGCACTGCGGGAGCGCGCCCTGGCAAGACGTATCGTTCACTACAATTCAAGACAACTGTACTTTGAATGCGCCGCGGGACTTTTGGCCGAAGACGGGTCATACATGCAGTGCCGTCCTTTCGATCTGAGCGAGCTCCGTCGCCCTGAAACCGATCCTCATGGCATAACAAAAGCACCCAAAATCTGGTACTCGCTGGTATCTTCTCTCGGGGGCAGGAAGCTGACCAAGCCCACCGACAAACTCCCAGCGATTAGTGGCCTTGCTCGGTTGGTACAGAAGACTACCAATGCTGACTATGTGGCTGGACTCTGGAGCAACTCAATGATACAGGGACTCGCGTGGTCGGACCCTGCAAAAGGAGGCCCAGTCTCGCGGGAACGGCACATGCTCTTTCCGAGGTACTGAATTGGCATGTGGACCTGAAGCATCCCGAGAATCCATTTGGAGAGGTGACAAACGCTTGGATACGAATGAGAGGGCCTGTTGCGCCCTTGAGGCCGAGACCGCCAGAGAAGTGTGGGCTCGAAGCACGGTTTTACCGGGCTGGTATCTCGCGGGGACCGCAGGTCTGTACGCCTTACTCAGGAGACGAGAAAGGGCTTATGCTAAACCTGGACTACAATGACGCTCAGGATTCGGGCGAGTGGAGGGACTGGGATTTGCAGATTTTACTTCTCTATAACTACGGACCCCCAGGCAGCAAGGCTTGGGAGACAAGAGACTCTGATTCTTCAGACACAGACAAGTTTACCTATGGGCTTGTTATCAGAAGCGAAGGAACAGGGCAAACGGGCAAGATGCAAAGAGTCGGTACTGTAGTCATGAGTAGCCAAGAAGGGTTCATGATTCAGGGAGACGAGAGCAACTGGAGGACCATCGTTTTGGTGTAGCCTAATTATCCTAGCCCCCCAATAAATGTCGTTATTGGGAGGGTCGTACCGTCTGCAGAACGCGGAAGGTGCGTGCTGGCCTAGTCTTGGCCGGGCAGCATCAGATATCACACTGCCAAGGGCCGAAGAGCTTGAGAAATCCTTGATTCTCAGCTGCTTTCAAAATACATCTGTATTTTCATCTGTATATGTTTCGTTTCGTCTTAATGCACTCTTCTATTTGCTTCTAATACGAGTGTATCGACAACATCACATAGAACAATACAACTCATTCAGTCCCCCACCCACTTTTGGACTCCCGTCCGGACGTAACATATGATTTTACTGACACCCACACGAATTCCAGGACTTTACATATAGAATTCTTAATCACGTTATCCGTCACAGGTGCCCATTTACCGGATGAGCGGGTAGGGTGTCCAGGGTTGCTGAGTGCCACTCACGCGCCGAGTCTCTGGGTCAGAAGCAATTCTGACCATCAGTCGATGGTTTACTAGCATTTCTGCGGAACTCGGCCCTTAGCGCGAGCCTTTCTTTCCTCTATATCACTCGGCTGGATTATCAATCTGATGGAGGCTTACCAGAACTAGCATAGCTTACTGGCAGGATCTGAGGCTTTTCTTCTTAAAGGACAAAGTTCATAGTGTCTTCAAATCTATTTCATCATCAGTCATTCACTGTCAATCCACTACGGCAAAGCACAGGCCATGCGAGAACTTCCAGCTAGTGTTTATGGTGGAGAGAACTTGCAGATTGCCCTGCTCATGTGATCCTCCCCTTCTGTCATCTGTTCCTGAAACCCATCCCTTTCCCCTCTGGATTCGTATCGGTACTCTGACACAAAATGCCTGTAGTACTTGTACACATGCGTAAACTGGGGCTGTTTTGGTGTGTGTTATCTTAAGAATCAAAGGCAGCTGGGCCTAGAGGGCCTCTGGGACAAGTCATATGCTGTTCTAATTGGCCTAGACTACTTGCACCCAAATTACAAAACCCGAGATTCCAACACAGCCGGGTTTCAGAGTATATTCCCATTGTGCCCGGAGGGCGATCGCTCCACCCTGAAGACAGACCATGATGGGACAATCATCGGCGACCTCGGGCTCGAAGGAGTGGGTGAACGCTCGCGTCTGTGGGGCCGGGAACGGATGTGGACGTGTGTATGTTTGGTTTTTGGTTCGGGGGATGCCACCCCAAGGCAAGATCATATTTTTCGGCCTGCTCATCCAACCTGCCAAGCGAAAACCACTCCTTAAAATTGGACGTCAGCTCTTCTTCGAGTGGCCTCACCACATACTGAAAAAGTAACGTTCGAACGTCCTGCATGGTGGGGTTGGGTCCCAACTTAGGATCTGGCCGCAGACATGTGTCGATGGCGTTCCGGTAACGTAAGGAGAAAATGTGCTCCTTTTGGCACGCGAATGCCTTCATAGCGTGCAAGAAGAAGTCCCTAGCGCCAGAGAGCTCTCGTTTCAGTCCCAGGAAGTCCTCGAGCCGCTGGCCCAGGTGCAGCTCCAGAAGAATGACCCCAAGCTCGAGGACCTCCGGGTATCTGTGAAGACTGAACACCTCGCTGGGTTTGGGGTCTTTGTCCTTCTGTATGTCTGAGACACCAAGGAATGGCCGCAGAGGAATGCGACTGCCGCTCCTGAAGAATACAATATTCTCTCGGCTCCATCCGCCTCGTACCCAAGGCCCACCGTATAGATGATGGAGGCTCCATGCAAGGATGACGGCAAGGGCCCACTTTGCGGTCTCGGGCCATCGTTTCTGGGGCGATGCGAGGATAGCTTTGAGATTGACTTCTTCCCGCAGACTGTCCTGCTTGATGGTTCGCTCGTCTGCAATGTTGCTGGATGGATGAAGAATGCCTTGATTCAAGATGAAGTTGAGCCGTAATAGATCTGCTGTTGAGGGTTCCTGGAGAACATCGTAAATGCAGGCAATAGCCTCGGACCCTGAAAAGTCGCGATCGTCTTCGTACGGGTCTACCGGATCCGGTATTGAGAACTTGACTCTAGGTCTAAGGTAGAGTGTCCGAAATGGTCAGATACTACCTAGATATATGTTTCATGTAAGCCAAGTACTTACTTAAATTCTATGTGGTCGTGAATGAGCAATTCATGCCAGATTCCCCACTGTTCACTGTCTTGGAGCTGTTCAAGTAAAACACATAGCGATTTTGGCACATGATTCGACACTGCGTGGTACGTCCCAATCTTGAGGCGGCTCCCTCGCAGGAACTCAGAATGGCAATCGCAGGACATCGCTTTGAACACCTCTTCCGCAAAGCCCCACATCTCCGGACTGGGTTCGTTTGGCAGCGCCATCATGTCTTCGTCCATATCGTTGATATCGTCTCCATGGCCTTGGATTTCGTCGGTAATAAATTCCAGTTCTCGCAGTAGTCTCTTCCATTGTCCGGGACTTTCCATCATCTCTGTATTGAGGATGTCTTTGGGACGGAGGCCTGTGAATTGACCGCCACTTTCTGAGAACAACCTTTGGACCATGTTGAGTCGTTGATACTGAATGAAGCATGTGCGTCCATCAGCTGAGACAGGAGCTTCAGCTACTTTGCTCTATATACCACGTTGTTCTTTCATCAGCCCTGCCTACTTCGATCATAGACCAAGTTGTGAAGTAAAGGAGGTTGGCGGTTCTTACTTTAGATGGGGCCAACTCCAGGCTGAATATCCGTTCCAGATGATCCGCGAGTTCTTGAATCTCCGACCCGAACTTTTCATAGCTACCTTCTCTTTTCAGCGCCTCAAGGTGGTGCTGCAATGTTGCCGTAGATGATTGGATGTTGCCCAAGTAGCCGTATCGTTTGTCGCGTTTGTTGATTGTTTTTGACAGGCTTCTGCATAAGTTGCAGATGATTGGCAACGTAGCCAAGATGAGATCTACCAGCCCCGGTGGCGAAGGACCGTGGTGCTGAGCAGAGTCCTGGACACTACCAGTGACGCTATTTGCGTTGCCCATCGGCTCTGTCTAGGTTGGACCTCTCAGTCCGTAACCTGTTGTCATTGTTTTGCAACAGCCTGGCAAGAGTGCGGAGGAGAGAATTCATGTGGTATTAGCGTCACATACATCAAAGACAAGCTTATGTATGTCGTAAGAAGTCCTTGGTGACACAATATGTACCAGCCGAACGAGCGGGGTCCAAGGTCAAGTCATGTGATTTCTGAGGCGTATGTCGTTCTTGACCTTCGAACCATACGTTGACTACCCAAATGCTTCGCAACTGTGGACCATTTTGACCAATACGCATACGCACATCTCCCCTGCCGCAGAGCACTGCCCACATGGCACAGTACGATGGTGAGACGATTCGCAAAGTCGCGAGTCGATGCCTTCATCTCTTCGCGCAGATCATAGACGACAACTCAAGATTTCTCGAAGGGCCAGGTGCGAGTGAGCAGACTCAAATTACCCTTCAAGATGAGTTCGTGAGGTTCAAGCTATGGGGGTCGAATATTGGCGTCTTCGCCGAAGTTCATGCCTCACTGGACTTTCGTCTTCGAGAGATCCCCGATATTGCAGAGCTTTTCTTGAGGCAACTCGACACCATCGAAAACAGGCTTGTCCAAGGTGAATCATGCTTTCCTTGAGAATGTATAATCGTAGAGACGAACAAGTCTACGAGAGAACACATCCGCCTCAAACATAGCAACAGGAAAGCTACTTCAAGTCTTGAATTCAGACAGTCGGATCTACTTGTATCGCTGATATCACGTGCTATAGTATCGCAGATAAGCTTGTATCTGGGGCACGGGCATGACGGCGGAACTTGTCAGCAGGAAAGACCACATCAATGTCCGGAGTGTGGACGAGGATTCGAATCGCTTTCCGATGCGCGGAGACACCTTGAAGCCGTACATTCCATCTTTACTACGGAAAATTACGGAGTTCGAGGGCTTGAATTCAACGCAGACGAATCTTTTGACAGTTGGTCCGAATCCGAAATACTGAAGTCCATACATGAGAGCATAGACTGGCTGCATCGGTTGTCCAACATGGTGCGAAAGGCGAGTTTCAGCCACCAGAACAAACGCGCAGACGATTTCATGATACGAGATGAGAATGGCGAGAAGTCCGACGAACTCACCCGTTTACTACTAGATGGCCTGACAGGGTTGTATCAGTTCTACGTCAGAACCCATGCTGCAGGTGTAGGGGAGCAACTGGCCCAGAGGCTAGTCCAGACAATGATCATACGACATAAACGAATCCTTTATCGAAGAGCCAGACAGAAGGTTTGGAATCTGGAACAGATCAATTACACGCCTCGAAAGACAGAACAGAATTCTCGCCACCTGAGGGTTTCGCCTTCTGCCCCAGAGACTACAGCACCAAGTGGCAGCAAGACAACTGGGCTACCGCAGACAACAGCAAAGATAGAGATGGCCGGATCTCAGTTCACGGCTACCACAGTTGACATCAGCATGATTCGCAAGGCCATTGCACAATCCGAGGTGTCCAAGGCCACTTCTAATTCTTTGTTTGTGTCGGATCAGGTACTTGTTCCGCCACGTCCGGCAGCAGCGAAGTCCGGCAACGAGTTCGTATGCGATTACTGCGGGCTCCTTCTTCAAGCGCACCAGGCATCAAATGCAGCAGCGTGGGCGTGAGTGGGCCAATTTCGCCTTGACTTGAATTTTATGAAGATGAGCTAATCGATTTGAAACCGACGATATAGGAAGCATGTAAGGAAGGACCTTGATCCTTATGTGTGTGTCTTTGACGAATGTGATACGCCGTTCGAATTATACTCATCCAGCAGGGAGTGGCTGTCCCACATGCGCTCCCAGCATCGTATGAGATGGCACTGCTTTGCAACAAGTCATGAGCCCTCTTTCTTTGAATCGCCAGACGTCTTGGAGGAGCATCTGCGGGAGATACATGCCAATCACTTCAGCAGCGAGGAGATATCCTTTTTGGTCGAGAACAGTAGTCATCCAAGTCTGTCTGTCATCGAGGATTGTCCATTCTGCCAACAAACAGCCGAAAACACCGAGGACCACGTCGCCCGGCACCTGATACAACTCGCCCTGAGATCTTTGCCTTGGCCAGAAGACTGTTATAGTAGTTATCACCCGAGCCAATCATCACGCAGCTCTCATAGCGAAGGCACTGCGCCAAGCGCAGAGTCGAACAGAGACGAGGACGGGATGCTGGAAGTCAGTGGAACAGATTGGGATGCATGGGAGAAGGAGATACAATCTGAAGTCAACAGTTCGCAGTCCTTCAGGAAGCAAGGGCATGAGGAGCCGGGACCACATTTAACAGGCGAGATAAGCGGGTTGGTTGGGCTACATGATTTTATCAATCCCAACTACGATGCTGCTGAAGACGAGCTCTTGGAACCGTTCCGACAACGAGCTAATCTTGATGCTGCGAAAGAACCATTGGCTAAAACAAAGCTTTCCGAAAGAAGGGTATCCATGATGAATTTCATGAAGGAAGAAGCAGCACTTGTTCGGGAACTCCAAATCCTCGCCGAAATCTACAAGAAAACCTCGGTGGCCGTCTCCAAACTAGATCAAAGTACAATAGGTCGCCTGCTCAGAAATCTGGATCAACTGATAAAATTGCACGAGGGGCTCTTGCAAGATCTGAGAACGGTTTCATCGTCTGATTGGAGTGGCACGGGAGTTCCAGTTCCGCTTGTCGACACAATTTCGTCCTTGCCAACGGCACCCGAGTCAATTGGACCAGTATTTCTGGAGAACTTTCGCAAACTAGGGCCTGCACATGAGGCATACTCTATAACTCATGAAGGTGCTACTTATCTATGGCATACTCTACGGGGCGAGTAAGTCAAAGGTTTCGAAGACAAGCAGTGTGCATCTAGGGATCTTTATAATAAACCCCAATGCGCATGTGCATAGCTGACTGGGTTTTTTGTTATAGCCCATCAGTCGACAGGTGGATCGACGAGCGCGTTCGACTCAGATCTGACGTACCAGATCGCAAAATCGATGATTTACTCGAACTCTCGAACAGACGATATCGGAGCGAGTATTACGCAAAATGGCTGAACCAACTCTATGCACAGACACCAAGTGACCATCCAGACAAGGAACTACTACTCGCGACCATACGGTTTCATCGAGACTCAGTTTGTCGCGCTGAGTCTACGAAAAGAAGCAACGATATAGTTCAGAGAGTACTGTCGAGCAGACCATCAGACATTGGTGTTTCAACCCTCGGCGAAGTGTCCGAGAGCCAAGGCTACGCCGAGGACGATTCTCAAGACGATGCTGACTTCACGGAACTATGCGAGAGATTCCGTACCGATGGGTCAAGACTGGATTCTCTAACTCACGATCTCAAAGACTACTGTGGACATGTCGACGATTACTGTGACAGGATCCTAGTCTTCCCTAGCTCCTTAGAGCTGTTTATGAGTTTGCAACCAGGCCCGTACCCAGACATCGAGTCTAAATGGACCAATTTTGCCGTCTCTTTTCGCACAGCGCTCAAAGAAGATCTTTCTGCCGAGTCAAAAGTACGTCGGCCTCAAGGTCCATGGCCACCCCAGAAAAGCGAGGCTCGGTCGGGAAGGTGCTAACTCGTTATATAGATTGGCAGGATCAGCGAGGTGAAATTGCTCCAGCCAATACGAAACCTCATCCCAATGCTTTCAAGAGCAATATTGTTGATTGATCACCGGAACCATCGCCGTCGCCATTTTGAGAGATTCAAAATGCTCCAGAGAAATGGAAAGAAGCCTGGCGACGAGCTGGCCAGGATCTCTGAGGAATTTGATGCCGTTGACTCGCTTCTCCGACAGGAGTTGCCCACCCTGCACAACCTGGTCATAAAACTCACGGTGCGTCTGATTGAAAAACTCACAGCGGCGCAAATGCAGTCGTTTTCCAGTTGGAGGACCGTCTTCCAACGCATCACCGGAAAGCCAGACGTGCCCGAATGGGCCGACATTAAGGCCGATTTCGAACGTGAACTCCGGTCCACGCGTGTGGAGCAAAAGATCAAAGAACTCGGAATCATTCCGTCCTTGCAACCACGAAGCAGGAACTTTCCCAATGAGGGAGTGCCGATTGCATTTCGACCAGAGAAACCAGCAGACCGCCACAGTCGACTGTTTGCAACGTCTGGAGAGTTTGAAGAGTCCGCCCTTGACTCATCGGAAACCTCCAATGCATTTCAACAGATGTCTTTTTCTGCTGGAAAGGACGAAGATGATTCAGGACCATCAAATCCAAAGAACAACAAACTTTGGTCAGCTCTATCCTTGCACAAGTTCTACATCGGGACGACCAACCGAGAAGCAGGATATCCCTATCTTTGTTACGATGTCGGAGAGGTATGTCCCAAACGTTTTCGTGTCTTCCGAATATTCGCTTACGAATGCGACTGCAGATGTTTGATGTTATTGCTGAGAAGGGTGAGCTTTGGCTGGCCCTGAGAAGGGATGATCCTGATATGCTGGTGGGCTGGATATGGTACAAGCACTTTGAAAAATGTTAGCGAGCGAGATCAGGAAGCTGGATCTGGATGAGCTTTGCCCGTTTTTTTGTGATGGAAATCAACCATCAAGGTCGAATCATCCTCAATAGACCTGAAGGCTCTGCAATTCAGAACTGGTTTCACATGCATGTGGCAGGATATATATCGCTCGAAACAATAAAAGAAAGTTTTGGTATACACTTCGGAAATACTTCCGTGTTGGTTCGTGTGATGTACTTGATAGGCATTATGCGCGACTCCTCTAATCACTGTCTGAAGTTCCCTCAGTGAAATGTCAGCTACAAGAGGTCTCTTGGATTAAATAGAAATGTTGGAAGAATATAATTATTAGGCCGACAACTTTAAACTCTCAAAACTTGATGATTAACAAACAGGTGGCTAGGAAAAGCCTACCAATAGCTCCATTTCCCTTGTCCCTTGTTGACATATGTTTAGAATCTTTCTCCTCATTTTATACGCTCAGCATCTATGTACACTGCATCTCTTGTCGCCACAGCATTAAGGCAGCTCAGGTGTTCTTTGCGCCGAATCGGCATGAAGCATGAATGGTGGAGCCGCGTGTTCTCCCAACTTTTCAGACCGGGGTCTAATTTGCTGCGTATTAGCAATCTGACCATGTGCTTCACGCTCTGTACCCATGTTTCGGTCGTGGTGGTTCCGATGTCGCCTCCATAACCAATATGCCGCTGCACACAATCCGAGGCCCACAATTGGTCCAAATACAGCCCCAGCGATCCAGGCCATACTCCCGCCACCAATGGACGCGACCGGCGGACTGGTTGATGGGCTGGACGAGGAAGTAGGTGATGGTGCGCCTGAAGAAGTCGTTGTCGTCGTTGGACTCACGGTAGCAACTAAATACATGCCGGACAGAGATTAGGGACTACGAACATAATTGGTTGCGTAAGGCAGTGCTTGTCTTGCCAATGGTCCGGAAATTCAATGTCTGGACTTACAGATCGTTATTTCCCTCGTGGGTGCTGCCGGCAAGTTCCTATATAGAGTACTAGCGACCCATCCTCTCGTGGGCCGACATTCCCAATTCGTGGCAGATGGAGCACCGAAGGGGACCGTCTCGAAAATGGTCATGGCGAAACACTTGAGATCAGAGTTGCTGTTGAAAGATTAAGGTAAGCACTTCTGTCTAAGCTTCTCTATCAGGCGCACTAGAAATTACGAATCATCTGCGCTTACCATGTCTTAATGTCCCCATTTTCGAAGAGTAAAGTGTTCGAGGTGCACCCCGTATGAAGCACACAGCTGCTGGAGGGTGCACAGTCGCCCGCGAGAGTCCCGGACGTGCTCCATCCAGTACCAGCAGTCATTCTTTGAGCTTTCCAGCTCGTAATTAGCAAAACGATACATTAGGGTTGGATATCTCTAGATACGTACTTGAATCTGGCTGTATGTACCAGCCGATGAAGCGGTTGTCAGACGTCGATTGGCCAGCTACAGCCACAGCCCATGCAAAATTGAGCCGCAGAATCATGTTAGCGCTTTACTTCCAGAGTTGCAAATGGCCCACTGCTTCCAAAGTCTGTCTTGTAGCAAAGTGCACAGCTCCCATGCGATTGGGAGGTGGCAACTGGTATGAAGAGGATCAGAAGGAGAGTATTTGAGTGCCTACTTAATATAGATACCTAGGTAGTTCAGAGGACTCAGCCTGTAGGCAGACATGATGCGGCCGAAGTCCTTCTCCACACAATCAAAAAAGTCACGTCGCCCCAGACTATTTTTCCCTACCGCTCCCGCATGGACTCTCAGCTCTAGAACACGGGATTACAGCCGCAATCCTACATCGCGAGACCGACCTGTCTCTAAGATCAAATGAAAATGGTTTATAAAAAAGCCGTGGGGGCGCGAAGCTAGTGCAGGATTGCATGGTCATGGTCGTCCGGCTCGAAAGGCATCCTGATAGGAGCTCGAGAGCGCAGGCTGGCGGCTATCACATGGGGCCAAGGGCCAAAATCATTCATATGAAATACTGTTGGTTGACACCAGGTGGCGTTTCATTGCATGGCCATTCCAATTTCTTATTACAATCACAAGTACTTAGGTACACTGAGAACATACGCTCGGAGAGAAAGGGTATTCCAATGGTGCTATCGCAAGGCTCCCCACGTCTAAGCAGAATAGGCACTTGACAATGTCTAAATAAGAACCCCCCCCCCCCAACCACGTAGGACTTGGGGAAGATGTGCCTGACTGCTACAGCGCGATTTTCGGGGTTTCTGACACCCTTCTAAAAGAGAATCTAAACGTGGACGAAATTGCTAATGCCGGGCAAGAGGTGGCCTACTTATTGGATAACGCACCTAAACTCTCTCACAATTGTTGATATTGAAATATCGCCTGGCACTAATTGATGCGAATTCAGTCTCAGCCTTCTAAGTCAGCTTGCTGCTTCCACGTACTTGTCGCGAGGGTGACTGTACGTGGTTTGGCGAGAGGGTTAAACCCTGAGGTGCCAAATCTGTCAGTCCAGGGGGACCCTAGTCTGCAGGACCTCAGAGCTTGCTGTAGTAGGGTGACGTACTTGGCAGATGCGAGGGGTCGTGGGTCACGACGTCTAGGCCGCCAAGTGATGTCTCACCATACTTCCATTCCTACGAGCTTCGTATCTGGCCAGAAGTCCGTCTCAGCTGTTTTACGAAGGGACACGTCGATCACTCAAACAGGCTACTCGTGCGAGAGAACTTGAACCCATCCACCACCACCTACGCAGCCACCGCCGACGACCATGACCAGCACAGATCCAGAGCTGGCCACCAAGGCCCCCGAGAGCGATGCTCAGGAAGACGCCCAGAAGGATGCTCCCGTCGAGACCCCAGCTGCTGCTTCCACTGCTCCCACTGCTTCCGCCGTCGAGTCGACATCCCAACCGAAGCTGTGCGATGATTGCGTGACAGACAGGCCCACTCGTTCGTCGCCCTCCACGCCGAAAGGAACCACTGCCAACTGCGAAAGCTAACGTTGGATGCCACCAGCCAGCGGCCCAGGCCCCACAGGAGAGATCAGGAAGCTCAACGATATTGACGTGAGTTCGCCTTACCGGATCCCCTCCCCACGCGCACCGGTCGACACAAGTACTGATCAGCAGCCCCCACGCCGCAGGCCTACATCTCCAAGCCGTCCGACTACCCCCACGCGCCCGCCCGCCTGCTGCTCCTCCTGACGGGCGGCACGGGCGTCAAGTCCACCAACAACCAGATCCAGGCGGACCGCTTCGCGAGCGAGGGCTTCGTCGTCGTCATGCCCGACCTGTTCGAGGGCGACGTCGCCCCCAACTCGGCCACCGTCGACGAGGAGCAGGCGACCCAGGGCGGCTCCTTCCTCGACAACTTCAAGATCAAGGCCGTCGAGGGCGTCAAGAGCTTCATGATCGACATGTGGCTCGCCCGCCACACCGAGGAGAAGGTCCTGCCCATCCTGCACAAGGTCATCGACGGCGCCAAGGACGAGTTCGCCGACGCGGTCGGCAACGGCGGCGGGGTCTACGCGGCGGGGTACTGCTTCGGCGGCCGGTACGTCCTGCTCCTGGCTGCGGAGAGGAAGCTCCAGGGCGGCGCGGGTTTGTTCGGCGCTGCTGCGGAGAAGCCTGCGGACGAGGAGGCTGGACCGCAGACGACCGGGCCGTACATCAAGGCTGGGGCGTTGGCGCACGCGACGCTGGTGGCGCGTGACGACTTTGAGGGCCTGAAGGCTCCTGTCAGCTTGGTCTGCGTGGAGAACGACCCTCTCTTCCCGGATGATGTGCGCACGGCAGGCGAGGACTACATGTCCAAGATCAATGTTGAGCATGAGGTCCAGGTCTACCCTGGAGTCCCTCATGGTAAGTCTTTCGGTTTCCTGAAAATACAGGGCGAGCCTGTTTGCTGACTCGTCTACGAAGGATTTGCTGTTGTCGGGGACTACGAAGATCCCACGATTAAGACTGCCCAGAGCACAGCGTTTGAGCAGATGCTGAAGTGGCTGAAGGATCACTGAAGTGGCTGAAGGATCACTGAAGTGGCCTCCGTCTTGCTCTGGTCGACGGTCGATTGGGAGGTGTTACGGCGTTATGAGGTGTCGGGTTGATAACGATGAATTATTCCTCTTTTCTGAGCTCATGGCATAGTTTTAAGAAGCCTTTTCGGGTGAATATACCTCCCATCCCGGTTCATGCATCCGAACATGCGCAGATCTCCATTGCGCAGTGATCCGATATGCGAGGCAGTCCATGGCCATCAGCCATAGCCTTGCCGTTATTAATTTGCCGCTGCCAAATTACAGTATACACGGGCATCAAGAAAGCTGACCGAAGGAAGGGCCCAATGAAAGCACCGGACAAGGCTGCGCTCACGACAGGGGAAGCGCTCCATTCTCGCCCCCGATCACGTCTCCCAAGCTTCTCACGCTCGCTCACGGCATGACCTGCGATGCAAGACGGGGGCTGTGTCGACCTACAGAAACCGGTTGGCCCTTGGTCGCGGAAATGCAATGCCAGATCTGGGCTCTACGACATGCTGGATCTCGCAGACTGCAAGTCGTGGAGCCGGAACCTGCTTGTCTTCGTTGCGACTGTCACATGCGAGGGCGAAGCCCGCCACGACCATCACCCTCGTGATCATCGCCGTTGACTTTGCCTAGGCCGCTGTCATGGTTTCACACAAAGGGCAAGCAAACAACAAAAAGAACAACAACACGTCATGTCACGTTCAGCTGATCGGAGCTTTTCTTTTTCGAGCTAGAGGGTCCAGCCTGGTCTTTCCAATATCAACAACGTATCAAGACCAGCCCCCGGGGATGGGTAGGCGAGGAGACTAGGGCCAAACATACATGGCAAGACCCGCAGCCGGGACACACGACACAGACACACACACACACAGAGAAGACTCTAGCCCGGCTCTGGGCCCCGTCCCGACCTGGGGCCTGGAGCACACCCTCGTATTTGCGTCTGGCGCGGTAGCAGCCGTCTGAAGTCGCAAGAGCACAAAGAGGTTGGACCTTCCGGGAAACACTTACACAGGTACCGATGACTCGCTGCTAGACTCGATCAACCCATCCCAACCTTGGGACAAAAAGACACAACGCTAGTACCTCTCGTCCCCTATCACCGTCCAGTGTGTTGTGGTACGGGCTGGTTGAAATGTGTGGGTATGTGTTCCTGTCTTGTCCCCCCCCCCCCTTCCCCTTTTGACTACATAAGTAGAGATTTGTTGTTCCGATATCAAGGTGTGGTTTTCTCATCCAATCACCCATGGGAGCTGGTACTTTTTGCGCTTGTATATAACAGATATGGAAGACGAGAAAGAACCCGGCTACGCCATATGGAGTACTTCTCCCGCGCTTACCTCCTCTCTTTCTCTCTGTTGTCTTCGCCACGTTACACGCCGTCGGGTTTCGAGCTGTGCTTCCCCTGTGCGACGGAAAGGCGCAGGGCCCGCCGTCCCAGCGCTGGGGACGCACGCAAGAGCTGGGCGTAGAAGGGTGCTGTACTCGAAACAGGGCGGCCCGCTGGGACTCCCATCGCCTTGTCTCTTTTTTGTTGGAGTCGTTGTTGTTGTTGTTGCTGTTGCTGTTGCTGTGCTCCGGTGGGACAGCGTCGCCGCCCAGGCCGGAGCCAACTACTAGCCAGCCCGGCCCAGCCAGCCAGCCAGCCAGCCCCCATGGCCGAGAGGTGGTGGGATTACGAGGGCCATCTGGGCTTGTGTAGGGTCGGCTACCTCAGCGCAGCTGGGATTATGCTGCCCAGGCGTGGTGATTCCTCATCTGGACGCGTGAAACATCATATGACAGTATCTCCTTGCGGACGTATGCAAGAAGGAAATCATCCGGGGTAAGGTTGGCAGCACTGCTTACTGCAATTCCTGCAGCGGGGAAAGTTTGGTTTGGGGGGGGGGTATGTTGACGGAGGGGGAGGACATGGTCGTACGAGGGGAGGTGCGACAGTGGGTTGGGCGAGTTGACTAGGTGAGACCCGTTAATCTAGTTGTGCGACCCGGGAGGCAAAGTCGGGAGATCATGGCTGGAGGGGCGGGCGGAGGGTAGGGAGTTTGAGGAGAAGGCTGTCCGGCTTTGAGCGCGGGCGTCGAAAGTCTGGCCCCAGAGGTATAGTCAGTTGCCAAGTGCGATACTGTCGAATCGGTGTCACTCTCGCTCAACATGTGAGGACAGTATGGAGGTACTATGTCTGCACCCATGATCTTCCACTCGGGATGTGCAGACATCGACGAAGCCGAGATTTGTGGTCAGCTTCGTATAAGCGAGAAGTATGAAAGTTCGGGGTTGCGGTAGTGAGTATGCTTCACCCTCACCGGTGTGGCTTAAATTTCAAGTAACCATGCCATATAGAAGCTGCCAATGCACTCCGACATAGAGAAGTCGGTAGCAACCAGCCGGATGACAATACCAGGGAGTTTCTCATCAGAAAAGTAACAGAGCCAACCCATACCACAAAATTCATTCCATGCCTCCGTCCTTCCTTCCATCCATTCCATGCAAGAGTCCGTGTCCCCAAAACGCCAACCAATGCCCCGTCCGACCGAGTTCCCCGTGAACAGAGCTGGCCCATGCCACATGCGATGCGATGCGAGTGCGTGATGCGCGATGCGCCTGCCCCCCTTTCCCGTCTACACCAAGGTATGCATCATGCCGTGCCCTGACGCCAGCGGGGGAGGCCCTGAGGACTCCAGTAGACCAGAACCACAGCCTGTCATGGTACACAAAGGGCCCCGTGTGAAGACAATATCACTCTGGGGACGTGCCCTTCCCCGCAGCAAACATTTCGTTCCTCCCACACCCTCGAGGCATGTCCACCCGAGGTGGCTGTTGCTGTTCAGCCAGCCCCGTGACGTTTGGGGCTGCCGCCCGTCCGCGTCCCCCGTCACGAAGCCGCCCTGGAGAAGGCGCCGTAGACACTCGGCTGTCCCTTGGAAGCGACTTTGAGGTTTGTGAATCTCGCCTCGGGCAGGCGGCGGCCGGCCTTGACGCTTTCGAGGACCCTGTTCCGCGTTAGTGACAAATTTGCGACGCGGAAAGACAAGAAGAGAGCAGAGCTGTGAGGGTATTCCACGGCCGACCATCGCAGAGATGAATTCGAAGCAGTAAAGACCCGCTCACTCACCATTCAACGCCCACGTATTTCACGCCACAGCCCCCAACCCGCCGTATCTCCTTCTCTAGCTTCCCGCCGGCCAGCCCGCCACCGGCACCGCCGTTGGGGCCCGAGGGTTTTCCCAGGATGACGTGGGTGACCTGCCTCCTGCCTAGGTGTATCGACATGCGGGCGCCGTTCTGGGCGAGCAGATGCTTGAGCTTGTGGTCTGAAATGAGTGGGTGAGTGCTCCCGTTGACGTAGATGACCAGGCCGTCGAATATCTTGCTGTTGGTGCTGCTCTGGCTCTCTGCCCTCGCTGCGGTCTCGCCGTCTTCGCCATCTTGCTGCTGTGACGAGGCCGTGGGATTCTCTTCTGTCTTGTCGTGGCTGTCCTCGTCTTTCCCTTCCCCCTCCAACTTGGAGAGCTGCTTCTCATGTGACTTGCTCGCCGGCCTGCTGCTGCCGCTGCTACCTTGGGTCATCGTCCCAGGCTTCCTCAGCATGTCCATGACGCTGTTGGCGGCCCTCGCCCTGACCTCCTTGGGGATGAGGACCTGCCGCTGCTCGTCAAAGTCCTCCGACCCAGCACCCACACGGTCGGACAGCCGGCCGCCGCCCGAGTGACCGCCTGCGAGCTGGTTCTGCAGCTTCCACGTGCGGTTGTCCCGCCAGCCTTGGGGGCCTTTGGTCTCGGCGCGCTGGTGGCCGAGGGCGACCGAGTTCCACGGGTCGAAATTCCGGCCATACTTGGGCTCGGCTGCCTTGGGAAGGGCTGGTTTTGGTGGCGGTGGCATGTTTCCTGCGTAGAGGACAGCGGCTCTCAAGCGGCTGGCCAAACCTCGTTCGTCACTGATCCTGGTGGTCTGATCACGGCCATTCCCATCTCAACGTAGAAGCCGTCGTCGGAGGACAAGATGGCTGGTTCTTTGGAATCTCATTCACTCTAGAGAGCAGGCCAGCGTTGTCGTGAAAGGATCTCAGCCCGCCTTTGTTGTTGCTATGGGTGACGCCACGACACGGCCGTCCCGCACGTCCTAGTGGCGCCGTCGAGGGGCGCCATCCCTTCCCGCCGTCTTCCCGCCTCGCGAAATCACATGAGCAAAATCTCACCCATCTAATCTTACTCTCACTCTCTCACACTCCCGCTCACAATCTCACTCACAATTCTCTGGCCTCACTCTCCACGCTGACGTACGTGTCTCTCCCCCACGACTCATAACGACCACAGCATCGCCAGTCCCATGACTTGGGGTTTCGTTGTCGCAGTCGGATTATGCCTCTCGGCAAGCCGTCCGAAATGGGACGGAAACCCCTCTATTTCATACATACGGGATCCCCGTCACCTTGCGCGCCCTGCCGCCCGTTCTCCCACTTTTTTTGGTCCCATTCCGCTTTGCAGCCTGACCTTGAGAGTGTGTGTGTGAGAGAAGCTCCAGCCTTTCCGTCTTGTGTAGCATCGCCTGCCGATGATCACGGCGTCGAAACACGCCCTGCAAGGCATATGCACAGTTGACATCGACATGGCTTGGGGGTGTGCTGGGGCTGGGGCTGGGGCTCGGGCATGGGGCTGGGGAGCTGGAGGGGTGTCCGTACAGCCTGGACTGACAGCAGCAGCGAAGCACATCACAGCACAGCACGGCACTCAGACCGTCATGGGATGTCTCAGTCTCAGTCTCAGCCAGCAGGGTTTCCATTCTTTTTTGGCTCAGAGCCTGAGTCTCACCGAGCCTGAGTCTGATTGATGGGCCGGCTGTCTAGCTGAGGACAGGACAGGGCTACCGGCACCAGCAGCTGCAGCAGCAGCAGCAGCAGCAGAGGAAGACAACAGAACCCAGAAACCCGGGACTACCTAGAAGCATATCTGCGAACCCGCATCTCATCTGATTGCACACCCGCCCCAAGGTTCGGTCGTCCAGCATGCTGCACTGTCAATCATACATTTGTATTTTTGTGTTGTGCTCTGCGAGCACCATCCCAAGTTTGGCCGTCATGGTGGGAGCACGACGGCAGTTGCAGTTCGGAGATGCTGATGCTGGGTAGCCCGGCAAGCCTGCGGTGGAAGTAGTTATTCCCCTCTCTTACCCACCCCTCGCATCGTGCGTGCTCATCAAGGTTTCCCGCACATCAGACCAGACAGAGGACCAGACACGACCAGGCTGGACCAGAACACACACACAGAGATATCACACCGGATAGAATGGGGGCATGGGCATCACAAGACAGGGTCCAGGGGCGATGCCCAAAGGGCCAAGGCCCAGGCCGCCCAAGCCAAGGAGAGGGACACTCCCGATCAAACCACAGGGTCAGTGTGTTCTGTTCCACGATTCTGGTTGCAGGCCGACCCCTCGTCCCGTCCCAGGGCCCAGCCCAGACTGATCTCCCGCCCCCTTCCCTCCCGGGGAGGCGTCATGCAGTGCGGGAAGGCAACCAGCCAGGAGGGAAAGGATGTGCATGCTGTGTCAAGAAGGGGTGCGGGATTGATGCTGCAGCTGCGCACGTACGTCGCCGTCGTATTCAAGGCTGTCTGATCCGACAAGTGATGATCGCAAATTGGGGAGGCACTGGGAAAGGGGAACTCTGGGACATGAGGCAGCGGGAGTGAGCAAAGCAAGCAAGCAAGCAGGCAAGGCAAGGCACGTTCTGCCCCCAGCCCGCGCCCGCCATCCCAGCCCAACACGTTTTTCTCCTACTGCTTCCCGTCATCCACAGCAGACGGGTAGGCGAGGCGAGGCAAGGCAATGTAAGGCAATGTAAGGCAAGGCAGGGTAATAAAGCGGTGCTTGTCCATGTTCCTCCTCCTGCTACTGCTGCTACCGGTCCTGCTCCTGGTCCTATTGTGCTCGCCCAATCTGCTGCCTTTGGCACGAGGGCGGCACGAGGACGACGAGACGACAAAGCTCTCCCACACGCGGGACGACGAACCAGGCCCTCCTTCCCACTACCGAGATTCCGGGCTGTGGTGTGGGCATGGACGGCATGTTCGCGCATAATCCATTGTGTTAATCATGCCTTGCCTTTTCGCCTCCGTGAACTGCTTGCTGCTGGGACTGAATTCTGAATTGCCTGCTCGCTCGCCACTGCCCTGCCCTGCCCTCTTCCCTCTCCTCCCCCAGTCCCGGTTCCGTGCGGCACCCCGGTGGTTCATGCAGGTCGTTGCAGGACAGACAGAGGGACCCTGCCAACCCTGCCCACCCTTCACCCGTCCCCCCCCCCCCCCAATAGAAGCCCCCAACCGGCCGACCGACCGACTGCTGCGATTGGGGAGAGGCGCAGCTTCAGCTCAGGTCTTCTCAAGACAACAACGTCCTCCCCTCCTGTCGCCTGTCACGCCCGTCAGGTCAAAACGCCCCCCCCCGTGGCGAGCTGGGGCCCGGAAAAAAACCTGGCGAATGGGATACGCTCCCCGCCCGCGCGCTGGGAAGATGGAACAACACTCATCGGGCCTCTGCTCTCTGGGTGATCCTTCCTGCCAACGCCCCTCCTGCCGTGTAATTTACTTGTGAGTAGCCTCTCAACGTCCTGAGTGGCCCCATGTCTTGGTCGAGAATGTCTCGCCCGACCGAGGACGAGCCAGCCCGGTGCCTGTCCGTCGCGGGGGCCATCTTACTTACCCTGCCTATCTATCTGTCAGTCGATCGACCGCGCCACTTTTTTCCCCTCGCAATGCACCCGGCGGGCAACATGGACAGGGTGCAGAGAGCTATTAGCCTTTCGGCATAAACCACCACCTGCAAAGGCTCGTTCCGAAGAAATGGGCTCCCCTCGGTCGAGGCTGGCGGGCGCGGCGGGGACTGGTTCGAAACCACACATCAGGACAAACCCCGACGAGGGTTTCCCTCGCGCGCATCAAACGCCTCTGGCCCGGGGGCAACCCTCCTCCATCTTCTCGCTCTCTCCCACACACTCTCTGCCTACTGTAATTCCAACGTCGTTGAATACACAAAACGTAGCAAAACCTCGCGGCCGCCGCCTGATGAAGAATGGTGCCCCCAGTGACCGGACCAAGGACGGTAGGTAACTCAAAGAACCCATGTGCCTGGAAGCGAGAAACCTTGAGAACACAAGCCGGGGCAACCGCTGTACAGTGCACTCTGATATTCAGTCTATTTCCTTCACGGGTTGAAAGTCATTCTGATGCAACGGGGGCACCACCACCACCACGACGATACCCCCATCACGGGACTTGGTATCAGTCAAAAGCATCGACGAATCGACGGGCCGTCCCAGCTGTTCGCATGAAGGAGAGGTCACCCCCCCATGCGAACGTCGCCCCGAGCCCTTGTCGTGGACTCTTATTACAGCAACAACCCCCGTCCGTTGTATACGTCCTACAAACATCAGGTCGTTGCGAGTCCCACCGGGGCGCTTTGATCCCGCCCGTTACTCACTGTAAACACGTCCTGCTTTCATAATTCTTTGTAAGTCGCAATTCCAGTTCGTCGCCACAGAGAGGTCGAAGAGAGTAAGAGAAAGCGGTGCTTTCCTTAGAACCCCATCCGTTGATGGCACACAGGTATGATCACCCGTGACAACTCACAAACGCTGAGCGCCTGGTCGGACGATTCTACCACGACCCCCTCCCTCATCACGCCGAGTGTCTACGTACACTGTGCCTGTAGTACCTACCTGGCAACTCTCCCACCCAAATCAACAGTCCCATCAGTTGATGAGACAGGCTAGGATCGACGTTGTTGAAATGGGGGCAAAAATGAAATCCAAATATCGAACCAAAAAAAAAAAAGACACAAGACCGCTGACCGCAGCCCGGAGCGGAGAGCATGCAAGATCATCGAGATAGGCTTTCGCACCCTCCCCCCGGCCCTCCCCTCCACCCCGTCCCATAATCATCATCCCCCCAAGTTGCTGACCGGGTTTTGGGAAAATAAACCCCAGGCTATAGCGCGTGATCTGCGAGGTCCCCAAATCTGACCGACGCTGGCACAGCAGCAAGCAAGCACGCCAGCGGCAGCGGCAGCACCAGCAGCAGCACGGCGCGTATGTGGCCCTGGGGCAGCCGGCCATCGCACAGCATAACCGGTGGGGGGGCTGAAAGGGGGGGGGGCAGTTGGTTGAGGATAGGATGAGAGCTATGTATGGTAACAATACCGTAGCAGTAGCGACAGTAGCAACGCCAGGCTGCTCATCAGCCAGCCAGCCAGCCATCCAGCCCCAGCGTGAGAACGCGCCGCATTCTGCATGAACTCAATTACCGTTGCATCGCCCCGGGTCGCGGGCTGCTCGTCTCGCAGGCCCAGACAGATCAGCAAGATAGACAGACAGATGCTTGTGAGAGGATCAGCGAACCGCGCGCTCCCCCCAGGAAAAAAAAATGATAGCGAAGGTCGGTCGGACAGCGTCCCCCAGCTGAGTGTCATACAGCCTAGACAGCCTGGTCAGGAACAAGGCCGGGTCGGGCACCTTCCCCCCCCCCCCCCCCGTCTAATACTGTACAGTATCTCGAAAAAAAGCTGCCGGTCGCATCGCATCGCATCGCATCGCATAGCGCAGCAGCACACACACACAACAGCAGCAGCAGACGACAGAGCTACTGTGGCAGGGAGGCACAGCTCCAGAGGTTGCTGTTACACACCCTCCTCCCACTACCCCCAATCTCCACCCCGGACGACTGGGGGGGGGAGGACCGCCTCGCTCCCCTACTGTACTGTATTGTCAAGTCCCGCCAAACACGAAAGGGCAGGAGACCCGGGGAAGGGATCGGCGCAGCAGCAGCAGCACAAAGGGTCGCTGGTCATGTACCCGCGGTGCGCACAGAGGGAGGGAAGAAAGACCCGGC